AGTTGCCCCACACTTTTCCATTTCGTTAAAAACTTTAAGGCAGTGACGAGATAAAGATGCCCACTCATTTCCTCAAAATTTTGTTTCCATTTTTAATGGCAAAAACGTTCTGCTTCGCTAGAAAAAAGAGAGGCAGCCACGATTCCAGGCTCCCTGCCCCCTGGGAGAGACAGGAACTGCCACTGGGACAGTTGGGGGGCAGGTAATCATCGCCTGTCCAGCCCCAGGACGCCCCCTGTGCCCCTCGGGAATCACTGCCTGGCTGGACGACTGGCCAGGGCGTGGGGGGCTCAGAAGGCCTCCATCCGGGCGCCTTTCTTGAACAAGGAACTTCCAGATACAAAGGGACTGAGCTCGGCACCACATCTAATCGGAAATTAGATCCGGAGGGTGAGTGGCAAATTAAAACAGGATGCAATTTAGGAGTGAGCGTGCTGGTGCTTTGATGGCGGGGTGGAGGGCCGTCTGTGCCAGGGGCAGTCCCGGTCCCGGGCATGAAATTGACTTCGCTTTGACTGGCGTTTGAAGATCCTTTTCGCCCAAAGGGGACGGCGTCTCGGGTGGCCTTATTCCTTCAGAAAGTGGCCTAAATCGCCCCTCGCCCCTCCCCCACGCCCCGTTGTTGGGGGAACCAGGTCACCTGCACGAGCTTCCCGCCTGCCTTGCCAGCGTCAGCAGGATTAAGGGCCGTAATCTCGGCGACTGAATTAGTTTCTCTCTTCCTGTCCTGGCTGCTCAGTTCAAACCAGCAGCTGGGCAGAAAGTGCAGGGCGACTCCGAGGGGCACAGCGACACCGGCCGGTTGCCCCTCAGGCCGTGGCCCGTGCAGGACGCCCGCTGGCTCTGGCAGTGATCCTGGTGGAGAAGCCGGACGCGATTCCCGTTAGCAAAGCCCCAGGAGGCTGCCTCCGCTCCAGCGGCAGCAGGGGAGCCGTGGGGCCTGTGGGGCTTTCAGCCCCCGTGAAGCTGGACTGGGGATGCACTGAGGGTCACGAGGAGGAAAGGGCGTCCCCCTCGCTGGTCGGTCTTCGCCCGGCGGACGGTGCACCTGCAAAGGCTGTGGGAGCCCTTCGAAGCGGCACCCGCAGGGGCCGGCCGGGGGAAGCCTGCTTTCTGTCGCTCCAGAGGGCGGAGCCCGCGCAAGGGGGTCGCGTGGGCAGCAGGGGGGCTCCCGCTCCGCCCTTGGAAGGGCTTCCCGGTGCTTTGCACTGGCTGGCACCGAGTGGGCTTTCCCAGGAGGCGATGGGCTCTTGGGTGTGTGCTTCAGGAGGATGCTGGGCGGCCCCTGGTCCTGGCAGTGGGTTTTCTACCTGGGATGCAGGATGGGCTCTGGGACCCCCTCGGTCGGTCCCGAGCAGCAGCTTGGAATCCGGCTCGGAGGAGGCGAGATCTCTGAGCCCGGGATGCTGGAGGCAGAGGCCGTGTTCCCCTTCAGCAGTAGCCTCACCTGAGTCCGGGTCCGAGGGCCAGCCCCGACCAGAATGGCTCAGGTGGGCGAAATGTGGGAAGGGGGGCTGGCCCTCCCACCACGTGGTCAGCGGAGCAGGACACACAAACGGGGGAAGGTGCCTCAGACGGGCCCTGGCCACGCTCCGCCCAGGCCAGCCGTGGCCCCTTGGAATGGCAGCAACCTCGGCCCACCCTCCCGGCCCGGGGGAAGCGTTGGCGTGAGTGGCGCTCATGTGCATGGGAGCCGGCGTCCGCCAGGACCCTGCACGATGCTCGCCCGCATCGGGAGCCCGGCTCCTGGCTGGTGCAAACGAGACGGTGGCGGCTCCTTCCACTGGGGCGGCCGTGACCTGCCTCCCCACGAGGCCCCGCTGGCGCTTGGGAGGCTGCCTGCAGTCAGCCCTCCTTTCTGATTTTGCGGGGAATTGCGCGTGCAGAGAACGAGCGAGGGCCTGCAGTATTTCCCTTTCCTTGCCATCCCGGCCTGCTGAGAGCAGCAGAGCCCCAGGCGTCCCGCTGTGCAGGGCCTCCCGGCTCGCAGGCGATGCTGAGCTGAAGCTTGTGTGGACCAGGAGGTCCGCCCTTGCAGACGGGCTGGTGGCGCCCGCTTCAGAAGGACCCCCTGCATGGGGGAGGCCAGGCATCCCTGAAGCCCTCCCTGCCTGCCAGCCCGTGGGGGGCTCTGAGCTGGAGGGGGTCCGGGCTTCAGGTCTGGTCTCTGAGCTTGCCGGCTGACCGTTCCGGAACTCCAGTTCTGAAGTGGCTTTGGAGGGGCTCAGCCTGGTGTTTGGCCCGCTGGGGGGCTTGTCTCTCTTGTGGCGTCCCCGCCTGGAGCCCGAATGGAAGGGCCAGAGGGAGGGGCGGGGGGCTCCCACGCCTGCCGTTTGTCTCTCTGCATCCCGTTTCTGTCTCTGTCTCAGACACATCCGCAAAGGCGGGTTGCACCCGGGGGCCCGGGCCGTGACGGCGCACTGCAGCCAAGAGCCGCAAGCCGGCTGTGCCCACACGGGTGGGCTTGTTGGGCCGGGGCGGCCCGGCCTCCTCTGGCGCCCGCAGGCAGCCCATCCGGTCCCAGAGCCCTCTGGCCCCTTTGGCAGGAGGTTGCGGGGCAGCTCTCGGCCCCCTCCTTCGGCGCCAGAGGGACGGGGCAGCTTGGGGTGGTTCCAAAGCGCAGCCGGGCCGGGGGGCTTTGCACGTCCCCTTGGGGTGGGCCCGGAAGGAGGGAAGGCTGCCCGACCAGCCACCGCTGCTCAGGAGAATAGAGCAGCGCGTAGCTAGGCAGGTGCAGTTCCGCTCGGATCGTGTGATGGCCCGCCCCGTTCGCAGGAGGTTTCCCCGGGAGGCAAACGGCACGGGACACGCCGAGCTCGTTGCCTGGACGGGGAAGAGGGACACTGGCGTGCTGTGCCCCGTCTGGACGCCGCCTGCGTGCCCCGGAGGACAGGACGGCGAGGGCTCCCGGGGAGAGTGTGCGGGGAGGGCCCTGGCTTGCTTGCTTCGGGGGCGTTCCTTGCCGCTTCCTCGGGGCCCGCTCTCGCCTCCGGGGCCTCCGGCAGGCTCAGAGGCAGCCAGAGGGGCGGAAGCGTTCCTGCTTTGTGGGGAATGGCGGGCGCTGCACGTCACGGGCTGGATTCGGGCGTCATCTTGCTGCCAGCTGCTCATTCTTTCCGTCCCTGTAGTGGAATCCAGTTCCAGGAGTGAGCACGAGAGAGCTTGCGGCCACCAGATGCCCCCCTTTTCTTCAGCCCCCCCGTGCCCCCCTCCGCAGCCCCCTTTGCTGTTTGCGGTGGCAATTGTGGCCGTCCTGTAAGGGAGGCCCGGTTCTCGTCGCCAAGGAGCCCTGGAGGTGGACCGGAAGACACAGGAGGGCGAGTGGCTTGGGGGCCTGTGGCTGGGAGACTCCGGAGCCCAGCATTCCCGGCCGTATTCGGCCGCAGAGCAGGGCGAACCTCAGCCACCTGTTCCGAGGAGCTGGCGTTCCTCTGGCGTTCAGAGCCGGTGTTTGCCCCTTCCGCGTGATAATTCTCCCGGGGGTCCTCGGAAGCGGGAAGTTTCCGGAAGCCCAGAAGGAAGGAGGCCCTGAGAGCGCCTGGGCCGCACACGGGCTGCAGTCACGGAGACAGGGCGCTTCAGAGGAGGAAGCGCAGCTGACTCTGGGGCCGCTCCAACGGGAAACGCCGGCATTCCTCTCAAGCCGACAACGCCACCGACCCTTGGGCAGCTGCGGATGTCGCCGCGTGGACCCGTGTCGGAACGGAGCCTTCTTGACTGGCCCTCCGCCTCCACGCGCTGCCCCGGGAGGGCCCCGCATCCAGCCCGCCCTTCCCCCTGCCTTTCCGCAGCCACACACTCCCGGCAGCTCCCAGTCGCCAGAGCGTGAATGAGGCCTCCGCAGTCGGAGGGGCACCGGCCAAGCGGAGCTTGAAGCAGCCGCTTTGGGGGCGGGTGCTGGGTCGGAGCTTGCCTGGAGGGAGCCCGGTGGGGAGGGGCTCCCGTGTTCGGGGTGTCCCGGCCCAAAAGGCACCTCTGCGATGCCCGCGGCCGGAGAGCGGGTCTCGAGCTCCGAAAGCGCAGACTTCCCTGGCAGGCCCCACGGGAGACGTGCCACCTGGCAGCGCCCAAAGGGTGCTCCAGCGGCCCACCGGGTCCCCGCAGCCCTGGGGATGCTGGAGGGGCTCTGCACAAGTCTGGCGCCGGCACCCCACTCCTGGGGCGATTTCTTATCGTTGGCTCTCCAGCTTTTAAAATTATGCTCATTCCGTGTTGTTTGGTTTTAAGCGACGGTCTAAAAAAATCATTTTCCTGTGCTCCAGCACTGTAGGGTTTCAAGCTTTGCCCTGTTAAACCCCTGCAGAGTTTTGGCCGAGAAATGCAGCCAGTCAAGGGGGCATCTGGCGCGGTGGCCTCCCCGTCACACAGCCCAGGGCCTCCAGTTTGGCAGCACCACCCGGGCGGCTGCCCGTGGAATATGCCCGGTGGGCGGTGGGCGCCTGCATCCGTCACGGCCGAGCGCGGCAGGGACGGCGGGGCCTGTCTGTGCTCTGGCGCCGCAGCGTGGCAGCCCGGCCGGGGCCGCCCAGCACCCAGAGGAGGCTATGGCGGGGCTCCCTCCGTGGCAGGCTCTGCTTGTCTGGCAGCCCACCTGCCCTGCCCAAGCCCCTCGTCTGCCGTGAAGCCTGTGTGCCTTGCAGAGCGTCGAGACCGGCAGATCACCAGGCCGTATATCAAGTCATGCACGGCACGGCTCTTCCCTTCGGATCCTTCCTCCCTGGCTGCACCAGCTGCTCGCGGCGCTGGTGGGGCCTGTCCAGATGTTGCGCTGGGCTCTGCAAATCTCCATTTCTAGGCCACGGCCTGCGCCCGCCCTCCCTGGCGCTGCTCTGGGCAGCCACTGGTGGGCAGGAGGCGATCCCCCCCCAAGCAGCCTGCCCTCCCTCTTTCCTCCCCTGGAAGAGGGCCGGGATGTGGCCGTTCCCACAGCCTTCCATTGCTGCAGGATCGAAGCCCCAGGAGGCGGCTTTCCTGCCTTCTCCCCCAGCCTGCGCTTAGAGATGCGTCATTCTGGCAGCGAAGCCGGAGACGACACGGGAGGACAGCTGTGCGGGGTCACGGGGAGAGTGCCCCGGCTGCGGGGCGTTTGGTGGGCCAGGGGCCGTGTGCTGCAGGTGGAGGAAGAGGCGGTGCCCCCTCCGACGCCTCTGAAGTGTGGGGCGGGCCCTGGGGAGCGGCACAGCCGGTCCACCTCTCTGGGCAACCCCCGTTTTGTGGTGGCCAGAGAAGCCAAGGGCCTGCGCTGGCGCCCCGTGCGGGTCCGTTAGGTGGATGTCTGCATGGGCGTCGCGCCCATCCTGCTGGGCTCGAACGCTGAGATGGGTGCGTGGGGGCTGCCGGTCCTTGCCTCCCAGGGACGCCCCTGTGCGGAGGGTGCAGCCGTGCCCGGTGGGGCCCCCCTCTGCTCGCCTTTCCCGCCTGTCTCCCGCCCAGCCCTGGGGAGCGCGAACGGCCGGCGGCTCGCTCCTCCTTGCCTGGTGCAAGCCGTCCTGCAGCCGGCCAGGCGACTGTGAACGCTTCCGAAGGGCACGGGCGTGCTGCCCCGCGGCCGGTTCAGGCCCCTCCTCGTCCGAGCCAGCCGGCCCTCCCCACACGCGCCCCCCGTTTAGAGCAGCGGCAGCCAGCGGGCGACCTGGCCGGGGCAGAGCCACTGCCCTACGTGGAGGAGGCTGCGGCGCGTTCCCCACACCTCCGGGACGGGCACGCAAAGCGCCCCGCAGGGATGCTGGCAGCCTTTCTGGCCTGCCAGGATCAGCCCGGGGTGCCAGGCGCTGAAGCGGTGTGGGGCTGAGTGGCGCCCGTGGGTCCAGCTGGGGCTGGAAGGGGGGGTGCAGAGGGTTCGGCCGGCCCTGGCGGGGCTGCCACATCTCTTGGTGCCTGCCGGGCCCCGCTCCCAAGCCCGGCTCCAGCCTCGGCCTCAGATCCGAGGTCTCCAGGAGAGCCGGGAGGGGCAGGCAGAGGCACTCCTGCTGTAGCTGCGGGCTCAGGGCAGATGCCCCAGCGGGAGGGCCATGGCCCAGGGCTTGGGATGGTGGGGACCCAGCCCTGCTCCCGCAGGCCCCACAGGCCCCGTGCCCTGCTCTCTGGGGCCAGCAATTCCTGTGGCACGCGGCCCGGCGGCATGGCTGGGCCCGAGGCCGCTCAGCCTGGCCAAGCCCTCGGGACGGAGACCGCAGGCCCCCTGGAGCCACGTCTGGGCCCTTCTGCCCGGGGGGCTTTGGGGAGGCGGGAGGGCTGTGTGGGCGCCCGCCTGTTGCGCCCGGCTCTTGGTCCCACGCTGCCACCATCCGCGGAAGCCGCCGAGGGCCTTGCTCTCTCTTGCAGCGCTGGGGCTTGAATATTCCCCAGCGGGGCTGTGGGGGGGCAGAATTTGAGGGAAGTTGGGCCGGGGGGAGAGAGTGCTTTTTGCGGGAGAGGCCAAGCCCTGACCGGGAGGCTCCCCTCCCGCTCGGAGCCGCCGGGGAGCAGCCACGTTCTGGGGGCCTTCACCAACGCTCCTTCTCTTTTTCTCTCCTCCTCCACAGTTAAGAAAGCAAAGCTGCAGGGGCCGCCAGGTAAGCGCTCCCCTCCTCTTGCACCTCTCACGCGGCTGGCCGACCTCGCTCTCGCCCCGCGTGGCTCGCTCGGGCTTGTGGCCTGTGGCTGCGCGGGGCGTCTGGCCTGCCCGCCCCTGCGGCCTGCGGAGGGTTGCGGGGTGCGACTCCGAAAGAGCTAGGCGACAGTGCCCAAGTGCAGCCAAGCCGAAGGAGACGGGACCCTAGCCTGCGAGAGCGGCTTTGGCCGGGCCGGGAGGGAGGGGGCTCCGAGGCTGCACTCGGGGGGTCCGTGCCGCTCGGCCGCTCCCCTTCTCCCCCTGATGAACGAGGCGTGGCAGCCTCGATGTGCGCAAGGAACGTGATTGCCCCAGGCCCTGGCAGAGTTCGTGGGGTGCTCTTGCCTCGGGCTGAAAGCCCTTCTTCGTGTAGCCAGCCTTGCTCTTCTCGGGGGCGAAGTACAGAAGGCCCGGAAGCACCCGTCCCCGCGGTCGCTCTGCTCACTCTCTCGCATTGCCTCTGTCCGCATTCCTTAGCAGCCTTTCCCCACCAAATATCATTTATTTATTTCTTGAAAGCTTTCATAAACCTTCCATATACTAGCGTCTCGGGACGGTTTACAACAAACGAGTAAAATAGAAATTAAAATGGCACAGCGTACAGTATAAAACACATTAAAACAAATTCAACATTAAAATAACAGGAGAATAAAAAGGTTTTCAGCTGGTGCCGAAAAGAAAGATGTGTTGGCACCAGGTGAGCCCAGTTATGGGAAGCGTATTCCACAATCGGGGTGCCACCGCAGAGAAGGCCCTCCTCCGGGGAGTCACCCTCTTGATCTCTTTCAAGGACAGCTCCCCGCGGGGGGCCTCGGCCTCGGATCTCGAGGGGCGGGAGGCGGAACAGGGAGGAGGTGCTCCCTCAGGTGTAGGTCATCACCAGCACCTGAACTCGGGCCCGGACTTCAGTTGGCAGCCCGTGTAAGCGGTGAAGGGCCGGCGTGCTCCGCGAATCGGGCCGGGCGAGGCGGTGTAGAAGCCCCGTTTTGTGTAACGACCTCTGTTCCTCGCGCAGATAAATTCAATACCTACGTCACGCTGAAGGTGCAAAATGTGAAGAGCACGACGGTCGCCGTCCGCGGGGACCTGCCCTGCTGGGAGCAAGACTTCCTCTTGTGAGTGCGCGGCGGTGCCAGAGCCCAGCGCTTTTGGGTCGAGGGTGGCGGGCAGGCGTCCCGCCTGCAGCATCTGCCATGCTTGAACCCGGGATCCACCCGCCAGAGCCGGGCATGAATAGGGCAGGGGATTCCGGAGCCGGGGGCCGCCGTGTCCTCGCTTCCGGAAGCGGGTCCGCAGTCCTCCGCTGCACAGCAGCGCCGCTTCTGCTGTCCTCCGTCCAGCGCCCGTTTTAGGGTGGGGCCGGAGCACCGTCGCTGCCAAACCGCTCGCACTCCAGAGGCCCACTCAGGGCAGCCCACCTGGCTGATTGGTGCGTAGATCTCGCTTGATCTTCGGCACTTCCTTGCCGGAGAGCGAATGCTGCTCTGCTCCGGGGTAGCGTCTGGAGGTTCCTGCGGGCCTCCTGGGCAGCTGCAATGCCTCTGGGTGCCCCCCAAAGCTCTTTCGGGGGGCCCCGAGTTCCCCGCAGCACCGTGCCAAGAGCGCGCAAGTGCGGACCATGTTCCCGGGAAGGCCTGAATCTGCTGCACGGCAGACCAGTCTGCTAGTGCCGAGGGTCCTGGCAGAGCAAGCCAGAGATCTGCCGTGGGGTGGGGGTCCCCCCCTCTGCTTAGGGGGAGGCAAGCGTGGGTCGGCGGTTCGCTGCGGGAGGGCAGAGCTGCTTTCTGGCCCTGCGTCGCCAGTGGAGTGAGGCGTGCTCGGACGGCATCCGTGGCCCCCGCGGGATTCAGCCTGTGGGGCGCAGAAGGGACTGGAGCCTGGGGCCGGGCCCGCCGGGCCCCTTGCCCACGCCAGCTCCTGCGATCGCCACGAGGGCCGGGGGGCTGGCAGCGATGGCCGGGTGGGGGCTGTGGGGCAGCGCGATCGAGGGGCACCCCGAGCGTGGCAGCTGGGGAATTCCCTCCGGTGAGAGGGGGAGGTGGCCACTGGTTCACGTGGCTTTGGGGGGCTATCGGGGGCCACTAGCCCCGGCGGCTCTTACGCTGCCTCCGGCGGCAGAGGCAGGGCGCTCACACACCCTGGTTGTGGAGGAGCAGGGTGGGGGTCCTGAGGCACTCGGACTTGGGCCGTGGGTCTCCCACCAGCCGCTGGCGTGAGCAGAACTGGACCATTGCTCTGTCCCAGCGCGGTGCTTCTTATTTTGAGGGCTAGAAACATGCCGCCTTCTTTTGGAGGGTCTCAGGAAGTTGAATGGCGTGTTTGTGATTTAATTCCTTTTTGAGTTGTCGGGTTGGAGTAGCTACGCAACCCGTCAGGGCTACCGGAATCAGTCTGACTGCACGTCACGGAGCGCTGTCTGGCTAGCTTGCAAGCTGGGAGGGGCAAGATTAAACGAAAGCTTCAAGCGCAGAGGGCCTGTGTTAGCGTAAGATGTGGCGCGTTGCAGAAGCGGGGTTTTGTGCCTCGGCGAGCCCGGTGGTGTGGGGTGCGCGCGGCGGCCGCAGAGGGGCGGGCCGGAGCTGAGCATGCACGTGGGTGCGGAGGGGCAGGGGGCTGCCGCTCGCTCGGGGCGCTTGCCAGAGGCGACGCCCTCACCTGCCGGGCCAGGTGGCCGCCTGACAGGCCTGCAGGCTTCTGCTCGGATGCCCCGAGTGGGCCTCTGGCGGCCAGGACGCGGGCCTGCAGCCACCGCAGAGGGCCGGAAGCGCTTTCCGCTCGCCTCCCTCCTGGCCCCTCTGCCCATGTGGTTGCAGAGTGGCTCGGCTCTCCGGGAGGCAGCGGGTGCCGAAACGCCCTGCGGAGCAAGACCTGGTCCCCGTGCGAGGCAGAGGCGTGCGGCCCCATTTCTCCCAGATGTTCACGCGTGGGCTTCCCCTCCCCTGCTTTGCAGCGAGATCAGCCGCTTGGACCTGGGCCTGATTGTGGAGGTGTGGAACAAGGGGCTCATCTGGGACACCATGGTCGGGACGGCATGGATCGCCCTGCAGGCCGTTCGGCAGTCGGACGAGGTCAGTGCCTCTCTCCTCCAGGTCCTCCCATAACTGAAAAGGAATCGGGGGCTTCTTCACAAGCCTTCTCCTCCACAAGTGCCAAACCAGCCAGCGCCTTGCCCTGCCCCGAATTCCCGGTCTCTCCGTGCAGCTCTTTCATTTCCGTGCCGCGGCAAGTGCCTCACTCCAAGCGTGCAAGAAAAGCGCCCCCCCGCTCCTCCCTCGCCAAGCCCCCGTCCAGAGAGCATCCACACCCCTGCCCCCAGCAGGGCCTGGGGGGCTTCCAGCGGCCGCTTCTTATGCTGCCTCCTCCTCCCAGGATGTTTTTGATGTGTTGCTTCCGTGGGTTTGCGTGGGCTTCTGAATTTCTGCAACCCGCGCAGAGCTTGACGAGATGTGAAGGCGCCTGTGCCGGGCAGGAGAGCCGCTCCGAGCTGTGCCCCCCGCGGGCTCCCTGCGTGTCCACAGCCGCAGGGGGCGCCTGGCACCGGGCGTGGCGGCTGCTCCATGGCCCTGCCCCACCGCTGCCTCCGCCCTCGGTCGGGGCTCCCGTGGGACCCGGCTTGGTCTGGGTGACCTGAGCGCCACGCCGCTCTTGGGGCCGTGCTCGGATCCCGCCTCGGGGCACTCGTTGCGCGCTCAGGGGTGCGCGTGACCGGAGGGGGGCTGCGGGCAGTCGTGGCTTGTTTACATGGGACTGGGTGACGCGAAGGACGTGCCTTCTCTCCTCAGGAAGGGCCCGGCGAGTGGTGCCCGCTGGAGGCGGAGGTCGTGATGAAGGGCCAGGAGGTCTGCGGCACCAAGACGCCCACGCCGCACAAGATTCTCTTGGATGCGAGATTTGAGCTTCCGTTCGGTGAGTGCCAGAGCCTTCCCTGGCAGCGGGGCAGCTGGGGGTCCGTGGTCAGCGCTTCTGCTCAAAAGGTGACGCGGAGGGGAGCGAGCGGCTGCCCGGGGAGCCCCCCTGCCCTGCTGCTCCTAGTGGTGCGGCGCGCGCTCGACGTCCGGGTCGGGCTGTGCGTGAGCGGGGAGAGCCTCGCGCAAGCGGCCGGGGCCAGCGGTCCTGGCCCGGGGGGCCGGCCCACATCAGGCCTGCTGTGTGCGGCAGGGCCGGCGAGAGGCGTGGCTGTGGGCGGGCCAGCGTGCGCAGGGACCCTGCGCAGGGGAGGCCGAGGGCAGGCTCCGGGCGGGGAGGTCCTGCGCGTTGCTTCCGGGCTGGGCTCGTCGGGGCTTGGGGCGCTTGCCAGGAAGGGAGGACGGAGGAGGGCCGCGAGGAGGGAGCCTGCAGCGGGGCCTGGGCTGTTCTGCAGGTGGGGCCAGCGCTGGTCTTCTCTTTTCAAAAAGGAGTATTCAAATAAGCGAGGCGTGTCTCATCCCTTGGCCTGTGTTGGGGTGAGATCGCAGCCCCGCCAAGGTACTGGCCTGCCCTCGCTGTTTCCACCTGGAAAGGGGGTCGCACAGTGCGGGTGGGTGCTTGGCCGGCCCGGGCAGGACGTTGCTTCAGGGGGGGCCTCTGACACCGCCCTTTGCTCTGAGTTGCGTTTCTTTCCCTGGCAGAAGAGCTCCTCCCTGTGCGACGAAATGGCCCCGGATGCCCGGTACACGCGTGTGCTGGCTGCGTGTGGTTTGCTCGCGAGCGCGTCTCACCAGCAGGGCTCCGGCGGCCTCCCTCGGGTGCCCTCGGGAGCGGCTGGGTCTTCCTCGGAAGACGGCTGTGTGCGCTGTGTGCGGTGCCGCGTGTTTGCGGTGGCTTCAGGGCAACCGGCGCCCCATGCCAGAGCCTGGGGCAGCGATGGGTCGTGGAGAGCGCATCCGGGCGCTCCCTGCCTCCCCGCATGGGCACCCAGGAGGGAGGAGCTGCCTTTGCTCTTTCTCCGAGTAGACCTCTTGCCCGCGTAGCCGGACACGTGCGGCCCGGCGTGTCTCAGGCAGAGCGGAAGCTGGAGGGAGCCGCTGGGCTTCTTTGCGGGCGCCAGACGCTTCCCCAGGAGCGAGGAGGCCGAGCGGCCCCGCCGAGTCCGGCGCTGCGTGGCCAGCAGGGCTCCTGCAGGCGCTTCTGCGCAGGAGCGTGTCCCTGACACCACCCCGGGCAGGGAACGAAGCTGCGCCGTGCGGGTTTCCTCCTCCCCTCCATCCAGTCATCGGCCTCTCCTCACCGCCAGCCCCCTGGAAAAGCGCCCGCACACTCCCTGGCTTCATCACCACTTGCAGGAGCCGGCGAGGCGATGCCCGCTTCTCTGGTGGGCGTGCGTGCTTGCCAGCCCTTCACCCGGGACAGTGCCGGGCGCAGCTCCTCCTCTGCCTTGCCCCGTGGCCAGCTGGGCTTGAGCCCCTTTTGCGGCTTAGTCTGGCTGGACACGGGCTGCGGAAGCTCCTCGGCCTTTCGGTCTTCCTGCAGAGACGCCTCCTCCCCCCTCGCCCCCAAGGGAGACGTAAAGAAGCACGCCTGCCCTTTCAGCCCCGAAGAGGCCGGTGCAGAGGCCCTCGCCTCTGTGGCCTCCACCGCCATGCCCCTTCCAGGCGCTGCTGTCGGCTTGCGGTGTGGTGTGTGCACGTGTGTGGTCTTGCTTGCTGCTTGTTCTCCGTGTGCATTCGCTCGTCTCTCCATAACGGCTCTCCAGCCCTTTGACTCTGGTTCAGTTTGAACAAGATTCGGGTATCGAATACGCTGAAATTCTGCGCTGCCGGCAGCAGCGGCAGCAGGCAGGAGAGCCAAGGCATCAGGCCGAGCACAGATAATCAGTAGCAAAAATAATCTGTGGACGTGGAAGACGGGTAATATTAAATGTTAAAATGGGGATTGTTGAAGGCCTGGGAGAAAACTGCAGGCGTTGGCATGAGTGCCCGGCGAAACTCTGCAGGGACGGCGCTTTGCCACTGGGGCCACCCCAGGGAAGGCTGGGCCTGGCAGCCGGCCCGGCCCAGCCCCCTCCGCACCACTTTGGGCTTCTCCGAACGGGGCTCCTGCCACCTGTGCTGCGTGGGGGGCCCACCTTGGCACGCAGAAGGCCCAGGCAGAGCCTCAGCATCTCCGGGCTGGGCGGGCAAACGCCTTCATGGAAACAGAGAAGCAGAGCGAGTCAGAAGGGGCCTCCCTGGCCATCTAGCCTGGCTCGCAGCTCCAGGCAGCTCCGCTCCGGATCCCCAGCGTGCGGCCGTCCTTCCCGGCACCCTGCAGAACCGCTGCTGCCTCCACCGGCCCACCGCGCCCAGAGAGGCTCAGGCAGGCCACGGGCCGGACTCGGAAGCTTCCTGCCGTGGCCCAGTTTGGCAGCCTGCTGAGCTGGGGGTGGGTCGGTTACTAGGGGGTCCTCCGAGAAGGGCCTCCACGGACGCCCCACGCCTGGGCAGGGACGGGTGGGCAGAGAGACAACCTTGCGTGGCTGGGCTGAGGTCCGCACTTGGAGCTTGGCCTGGCGATGAGCAGGGCACCACGGGTGGCCCCAAACATCGGGCCCCGCTGGTGAGGCATGGCCGTGCGCGGAAAGAGCTGTGCGTGGCCCCGGGGAGGGGCAGAGGCAGCCGATGCGGCAGCCTAGCGGGGGCTGGCAAGGCATGGGCAGGGTCTCCGGCGCGGGCGGGGCTCCCCGTGGGAGCAGAGCAAGCATGCGCCTGCCTGCACATGCGCACGAGTGCATGCGCAGGGGGGCGAGGGGAGGGGAGCGCTCGCCTGACCGTTTTGCTGTTCTGCAGACATTCCGGAAGAGGAGGCCAAATACTGGACCAGGAAGCTGAAGCAGATAAACTCCCTGGAGGAGGAGGAGGAGGAGGAAGAGGAGGAGGAGGTGCGTGTTTGCGCTGCTCCGCGGGGCGTTCCACCTCGGGGCCTCTTCGCCCGGGGCGGTGCTGGAGCCGGGGGGGGGGGGGCGAACTCTTCGGGTGCCCTGGGGCCGTCCGTCCTCGGGGCTTCTGTGAGGCTGCGGCGCTCAGCCCGACTCTGGCTGCACTACCTGGGACTCCTGAGGGGCACGGGGTGAGCTTGGAGAGGCTTCCCCGGGCGCGGGGCAAGAGACCTCCTTCTCCACACACGGAAGGCAGAGGGAAGGGCTCTCTGCTGGCCCCACAAGTGGTGGCCGGAAAGAAGCACCCCGTGGGTGAAGGTCGCGCGCCACGAGCCACGCGGCACAGCCTTCCTCTGCACGGTCTGCGTGGCCCCGCTGGTCCTCCCGCCTTCGGGCCGGGGGTGCGAGCCGCTCACAGCTCGGCCTCAGCGCTGCCACACGGACCGGGAGGAGCAGCGTCAGCACGATGGCCCCGCGAAATGAGAGCTCCAGAAGCCGTCAGGTCCCAGCCAGGCGTGCTGGAGGCTCCGTCCTATGGAGGGGCGCTCGCTGGGTGCCCAGAAGGCCCTGGAGCTTGGCGCGCCTGCGGGGTGGCAGGGTCGCCCTGGCTGCCACAGCCCGGCTTCCCACTCGCGCAGAGGCCGGCCTGACGGAGCGGACAGTGGGGCTTGGCACGCCATTCCTGCTCGTTGCTGGAAAAGGCGGTGGAGCTGCCAACCGGGAGGCTGAGGGGGCGGCGGGAGGGAACAGGCGAGATGGCGCAAGGGGCCCCGGCTTCTCTGGTGGAACGGCCCCCTCCCCGACTCCCCCCCGGCCACCCACGACTCCTCCTGAGGGCGGTCAAGGGGGTGGCGTGCCCCCTGGGACCCGAGGTGAGCGCTCCAGTGGGGCCTGCAGGAAGAAGCAGGTCTGGCCTGCGCTCGCGCCCCCCGGGTCCCCAGGCCGGCTGAGCCAGCCAACGCCGGGCCGCGTGTGTCCGTCCGGCAGGAGGGCCTTCCGCGTGCGGGGTGGCCTTGGGGGTGGCCCCACGGAGCAGGGGCTTGCTTCACTTGCCACGTGGGGGGCCCCCGCCAAGCTCCTCTGCCTCGGCCGCCTCCTTCCACCAGCCTGAAATCTTGCGTGTGCTGAAGCCCCGGGGCATCGCAAACGGCTTGGACGGACCGGGGGCTCCTTTGGAAGGGGGCTCTTGGGGCCCCCGGGCAGGAGCCGGGGTGGGAGAGCCTCGATTTCCCTTCACAGGGGAACCTTTGCATTGATGGGGGACCACAGGGCCCCAGTTTGGGCTTGGGGGGCCACTGCCTCGTGATAATCTTTGCGTTCCCTCCTGATCTGCCCTCCCTTCCCTGCAGCGCTCCCTCAGCGAAGACGCCCAGAAGGAACCGCTGCCCACCGCTGCCGCCCAGTGTTGTAAGTGCGCACGTTGACTCCTGCCGTGCTTTGGTTCTTCCGCGTTGCTCGATTATTTCCGATAGCTGCGCGATGCTTGGAAGCGCTGGCTCGAGAGCGTGCTCTCGTCCAAAGCGTGGCTCGGAGGACCGGAGAAATGCGGGTCCGGACGCACCACCGCGATCCAAAATGCTCGTGTGAGAGGCCGAGGTCGGTCGGGCCTTGCCTTCCTGAGCCCTTCGCCGGCTCTCAGCAGCACCCTGAGCCACGTGAGGCCCCCAGGTGGGGCCGTCGCGGGGCTGCCAGGATGCAAGCCGGCGTGGAGCAGAGACCCGGCCTGTGCTCCCGCCGCCTCTGGCTCGCGTGGCCCGCGCGGCCCGAGCGCCCGCGTGCAGAAGCAGCCCTGTGGCCGCAGCGTGTTCCACATGGGGACCCGATTCTCTTCCAGCCGCCTGTCAAGAAAGGGGCTCCGGAGGGGCTCCCTGGATTCAAGTCCCGACGGCAGGGTCGGCCTGGGAGAGGCATGACCCTGCAGAGCATGGGGCAGGCCTCCCCCCACACTCCGGTTTTAGTGGAGGTTTCGCGGGAGGGGGGTCGGGCGCAGCTCTCTGTCGCTGCCAAGCGCTAACCCAGAAGGTGGGGGCTGCAGCGCCCACTAGGCCACAGCTGTGCCAAACGCCCGGCTTTCGGCCTCCGGGGAACTCGGCCCCCACCTGCTCCGCTGCAGCCTGTGAGACGCGGCACTGAGCGCATCACACGCCACGGTTGCTTATCCACTCGGCCGGTCAGTGGCCCTCTTCAAGGCATTCACATTAGGAATTGTTAATTAGTTGTTGCCGTACGGGCACATTCGTGATCCAGCGGCGCAATCGCTTCCGCTATCTTATTTCTGAGTAATGTTGCCGGAACGCCTCAGTATCAAACTGCTGGTTTTTGGAGTACCTTTGGAAGCCAAACCGACTCGTCCCTTCCAGAGATCTCTTCCGCTCACATGGCGTTTGCTGGAGTGCACTGCACTGGGAGAGACATCGGCCCGATCGCATGTTGCAGCCCACACGAGGCCGAGCAGAACAGACAGCCAGCTCGCCAAGTTGGTGCCACTGAGCCGCGCCGCTCCGAGCCCTGCGGGATGCAGATCAGCATTCCTTGGAGGGCAGCGGGGTGGGGGCGCCCCTTTCCAGCACATCAAATGGCCCCACCCCGCCGTGCGCCGCACCCTCGCAGGCGCCGTGGAAGGCTCTGCTGATGCCGGGGCCTCTCCCGACAGGGCGAGAGCATTCTTTCTGGCCCGTGGTGGCCTAGTGCGCGCTCGCGGTTCGGACCGACCGTTTGCAGTGGTGGGGACCCGCACCGTGTCTTTGGAAGCATGGCTCCAGCGGCTGCTAAGGAGCCGGTCCAAAAGAGCACAGACGCTTTTCGGTGCCCCTGAAGTAAGGAAACGTGCATAAGAGCGGGCTGCGGGGCGCAGTTCTCTTTTGTGTCCTCCGTTTCTTCGGGGACGTCTGCTCAAAGTAGCCAGTGCGGTGCTCTTCACGGTGCTCTGCGGCTTCAGAGCTGACTTTCGTAGCGCTTCAGTGATAAACTCCGGCTGCTGCGTAAACATTCTTGTGAGTCTTCTATAAACCAAGAATTTAAATATCTCGCCTAGAAGATATTTCCAAGCAAGGCCCGGCCAGCAGAGTGCAGCATGACTTCCGGTTTTGGTTGGGTTGAAAATAGCATCGTTGAAAGCTACGCTGCCCAAGGGAACGGGATTCAGCCAGCCCAAGGGGCCGGCCAGGGGTCCCTTTGCCCCCCAGACCGGGGGTAGCCCTGCAGAGTCTTCCTCCGTGATGGACAGAAGCCGCCTCTCCCCAGTCGTCTCCCACGGCAGCCGTTCGCAGCCGCTCTGTCTGGGGCCGTCCGGAGTCGGGACTTGGGTTCCGGTGCAGCGCACGGTGGGCGGCCGTGGTGGCCAGCTCGCTTTCTGTAGGGCGGAGGGCCGGCAGCTGCGCTTGCCAAACAGAGTTCCACGGGCACCCGAAATCTTGGGTGCATCTTGATTTCAGCAAAGCTTTCAATGAAGTGCCTCATGACATTTTGATCTGCAGACGAGCTAACAACGGGCCTGATGGAACAGCTATTAGGTGGCTCCACCGTCGGCTACAGATGAGAGAGCTCATCCGTGGCAGCTGCCCAAGCTGGGGAGAGGAAGCGCATGGGGGACCGCGGGGCGCAGTCCTGGGCCCGGTGCTCTTCAATGCTTTTATTAATGACTTAGATGGGGAAGTGCAGGCAGACATAAAACTGGGTGGGATAGGTCATACCCCGGAAGACAGACAAAATTTAAGGAGATCTTGACAGTGGACGGCTGGGCTGAAAGCAACGGAATGAAATCGAACAGCGACCGATGCCAGGAAAAGCGAACCGAAGGCCCAGGGACGAGATGGGGATGCCTGGCTCGACAGCACTGCAAGTGAGAAGGGTCCCGGAACTGATGTGGGTCGCTGGCTGACCGTGGGGCTGCAGAAAGGGCACATGGCACCTTAGGCTGCATTAATAGAAGCATCCCTTCCAAATCCCGACTGAAATGCTAGTGCTGGCCGGCCTCGTCCGGAGCCTGTGTCCAGCGCTGGGCGCCACAGCCGAGGGAAGGTGCAGACCAGTCGGGATGGCTCAGAGGAAGATCCGGGACTGGGAGCACAGCCCTGCGAGGAACGACTGGGAGGACTGGCCCGTTCGGCCTCGCGAAGAGGAGATGGCGGGGAGAGGGGGGGCGCCCTGCAAGCGTCTGCGAGGCTGCCACGCGGGGGGGCCAGGACCTCTTCTCGGCCATCCCAGAGTGCAGGACACGGAATCGCGGCCACAGCAAGCCGGGATCAGGCTGGTCGTCAGGACACGTGTCCCGCCTGCTCGGGCAGTACGGCGATGGAGCCGGTGACCTCGGGAGACGGTGGCCCCCGTGCAGGCGGCCTCCAAGAGGCGGCTGGGCCTGGAGCCCTGCCCCGAGCAGGGGCTGGCCCTCGACAGCCTCACAGGCGGAGAGAGGGGCCCGCCCTGCTCGTCCCGGGCTGCTTGGACGGATGCGCCCGACTCCGAGGAGGCCGAGGACCCGGACGCTCCAGGGCTGCCTAGCGGAGCTTCCCGGACCAAGCCTGAGGCTCCAGCTGCTCTGGATGGGGGGGCTTCCGGGATGGGAGGGGCAGCGGAGGCAAGACCTGGTCCCTGAGGCATTCGAGATGCAGCCAGGCAGGCACCTGAGAGGGAAGGTGTGACCGGGAGGTCTGCCCTGGGCGGGGTTGGGCCTGAGGGCCCTGGGCCCCCTCCGCCCCTGCTTATCATGGTTCCAGGTGTGCACGCTCCTTCGCTGGCCCAGCGTTGTCCGCGAAAGCTCTCGCGTCTTCCGCACTCTCTTTGGAAGCAGCACAATGTGGCGCCTTCCAGGCCGAACGCGCACCGTCCGGTTCGGGCAGCGATGGGCACTGAGGGAATCGCAGAATCGTGGAGTCGGGAGGGGCCAGGGGGCCATCAGGCGCCCCCCCCCCCACGGTTCGGCCGTCCCCGGCAGAGGGCTGTCTGGCCGCCGCTTGGCCGCATGGAAGCCCGGTGTGCCGGTGCGTGCGCATCGTCCTCGGTGGCTGCGGGTTTGCCCTTCCCCGACTGTCAAAGGCGGGGATTCCCACCCTCCATGCTCCTTGCGGTGCCAACTTCCATTTCAGTCCGCGGGGAGTCGGGCTTCCCCTTTGCATGAAACGCCGCAGAAGGATCCCCCCCCCCGGCTCCAGCCGGCTCCGCTCACGACACGCCCCCACGCACATGTCCGGCCTGTCCTCGCGCAGCCTCGCAGGCGTGTGCTTGAGCCGTGGGCCGCAGAAGGCGGCTGGGCTTGCAGGGAAGGTGCCGGGAAGGTGTGAGCGTGCGGGCGGCTCCCGCCACTGGCTCGGTTGCGCTCGTGCCCCCTTCCCTTCCCAACCATTTGGGTTCCCTGGAGCCTGCCCACCATGCCTGGCCCACTTGGCTCCGGTGGGGCAGCACTGTGCGCCCCCGCGAGGCAGCGTCATGCGGCCCCTGGGCAGAACCCTGGTGTGGCTGAGCGGAGTCTCAGGGATGATGGGCGAGCCTGGAAAAGAAACGGTTCCGCACAACTGGCGAAGAAGGGCCTGCAGACCCAAGCTGAACGGCCAAGCACAAGACTCAGGCTGGCGAGCTGGGGCGGCGCTCCGCTCTGGCGGGCCTCACTGGGCCTGCCGGTGCCCCGGCAGCATCTCCGGGGGGGTCTCTGGGGCAGGACTGGGCAGGAGCCGCACCGGACCGGAGTGGGCCCACAGGGCAGCGTTCTGCACCGCAAGCCCCCCGCTGCTTCAGCGGAACGCCGTGGGCAGGCGGGAGTGCCACGGGAGGGCTTGGGGCTGGTCGCGCGGAGCCTCCTCCTCGGAGTCAAGCCCTGCACAGGGGTGGCCACCATGGCACCTCGTGGGGGCGGGGGCGAGTCCTGGCCGGCCCCCTCGTGCTGGTGCAGGAAGGCGGGCTTTCCTCTCTCTGGAAGCGCACTCCGGTCCGGCTCATGGGAGGGCCATGTGGGGCTCCAGTCCCGCAAGAGTCGGGGGCCTCCCCCCCCGCACTCTCCGTAGCACGCATGCTTTCGCTCCTGGCCGTGTGGCCTGCCCCCACCGGCAGCCGCTGCAGCCCCTTCCCCAAACTAGTCGCCCGTTCCTCCCCTTTCCCACTCCGGGAACCCCCTTCCTGGTGTGGAGCCAGGACTGTACCGGGCATCCTACGTTCAGTCACACCGTGGACTCGTGAACGGGCAGCGCGATCTCGCCAGTTCTATTTTTAACTCCTGGCCTACTTATTGCAGTGTGGCTGGAAGGCCTCGCCGGGGGGGGGGCGCTGCCAGCCATTCCCTGTGGGCCCCCCTGGCGCCCAGGCCGCGGGCTGCTCTGGCTGCAGCCGGGGGCGGGAGCTGAAATCCAGCAGGGCCCAGGGGGCCGCGCTGGCTGGCTGGAGCGAGAGCAGGGAGTGCCTGGCGGCCGACTGGATTCCCGGGCACGTGCCCATGCTGAATATCGGGTGAGCTGGGATCTCTTCCCCGGCCAGAGCCACTGGAAGGCGAGCCGAGTGCTGGGTTCTGCGGGGGAGGCGCTGCAGCCCCCCAAAGAAAGGGGCCCTCTCTGCTCTGGGACGCTCATTGCTGGGGGGGGGGAGGCGGTTGATGTGCCGGTTGATGGTCTCCTGGGCTAAGGGTGCTGGTTGGCCCTTAGCCCTGGAAAAGCCCCTTGCCCGCCGTTCTGGGTCATTTCAGAAAAGCAGATTTGGAGAAGCGGCTCAAAAGCAGGCGCGCCCCAGCAAAGCGGCAGCGGACCCTCTGCGTGATGGCAGACGCCCCGTGCCGCGTGCAAATGCTTCGGCAAAAGAAGCGCCTCTCGTCCCGCCCGCTCCTCCGATGCGGCATGGCATGTGAGGGTGAGCCGGGAGGCAGCTGTCCCGGGGCCAAGCAGGTTGCTCTTCCCACGGCCCCGGTCCCACGCAGGCCGGGGTGAGCCTTGCTTCCTGGAGAGCCGCCTCCTGCCCTGGATTTGCAGCTGTTTGCACTCGAGCAGGGGGTGCGCCCTCCCTCTCTTGTCTCTCCAGCCCCTGGGCACTCGCTTCCTTCCTGGGCGCTCAGCCGTGCATCCCTGGAGAGTCTCAGACGTGCATTACAGGTGCTGTGAGCTGAACCCCCCTGGAAATCGCGGGCTCGCTCGCTCTCTCAGGAAAACAAGTAACAGCTGCTCCCCCGGACCTGCAGGACGGGCTGGAGCGCTCTGTCCGTGCTCCATGAGGACAGGATCCTACAAGCCGAGGGCCGCTGTTGCTGGTGCTCGTGTCTGAACCAGGAAGGGGGGAGCGGAAGCGAGGCCTCCTTGGGGGTGGCCCCCGCTTCCCTCGCGTAGCTTTCGCACCAGTGCTTCGTGTCCCGCGGGTGGAAGACGTCGTAGCAGGGTTTGAATTGGTGGATTTTTGATCAACTGTGGGTGTGGCGTGAAGAGCTGAGGGAGGGCCCCCGACCACCAAGCTGGTTGTGGTTATGTTGGATTGGAATAAGCCGGTGACGTGCTCAGTTGAAGCGTTTGTGCAGTTGGCATTCTTGGCACAGTGAAGCATTAGATTTAAGAGCCAAGAAGAGCCCCCCCCCCGCCCCCGAATCGGAGTTCACTGTTCACCTTCGAGGTGGAATCTTTTGTCAGTCGGGCAAGTCCCACCCACCCGATGCAAACAGAGGAGGGGGCAGCTTTCAGAAGGGAGGGGCTCCACCCAGGCTCCGCGTTTAATTTATTCAGGAAGGGCCTTGGCAATGGGGATCCCTCAGTTTGATCCCCATGGATCAAAGGGAGGATTCAAGCACCCCCACCGCGGGCAGCGGATGCTTAGCAGCCTCTACTGAGCGTTGGCGGGGCAGGGCAGCCGTGGCTCCCCAGAGACTTTTTGGTCTGTGGCGTGCTGGGGCTGAAGGGGGCGGGCGCTCGTGCTGCCCTCCAGGGCCAGGGTGCCCCTGACCCGTCGGATGAGGGCGGGGAGGCCTGCCTGCACAGAGATGGTGGCGCCTGTCCCCAGGCCGCCGGCCCCGGGAGCCCCGGCTGGCCCTGGAGCCGCCGGCCGGCTTGGAAGAGCCCGGAGGGGCTGGGAAAGGGGCACGGGCAGCGCCTGACCCCGCCGTGTGGCGCTGGGAGGGAAGGGCTGGCCAGCCAGAGGGCCTGCGCAAAGCAGGGAGGCTCGCCCGTCTCGGGGACTCCCAGGGCTGCTGGGAAGGGGGGTTCGCAGAGAGGGCTGCTGGTCGGGGGTCAGCAACCCGCCCCGTGCGCGCTCACGGGCACCTCGTCGCCGGCTGTGCTTTGCTGGATGTACGCTGGGAAGGAGGAGCGTTTGCCTGCTGTTTGGAAGAGAGATGCGGGGAACTGGCTCCCGACATGTAGGGATGAGCACGGAGAGGTCATAACTTGTGTTGGAGGGTAATGTGGAGGGGCAGTAGAAGGGAATGGAGAGGGAGAGGCAGGAGAGGGGAAGAAGAAACACGGCTGGCTCTTGTCCATCTCTGTGCATGTGCAGAGGGCATTGTGCCGGAGTGCGAGGACCCTTGAGAAGGAAAGAGGCTGCAGCAGAGATTCCACCGTTGCCCCATTGCACAAAGCAGTGGTTACCTGGCCTCCTGCGGGCGGGGGGGGCGTACATCAATGCACAGGGGCTGGGAAACACACGGAGTGCTCAAAGAACGCGCAGTGATGCTCTCGTACGAATTTCCATCTTTTAAGAAATTAAGATGCCCTGACTAAATGGAAAGTTGTTGAACAATGCAGGTCTTTGTATGGTAATTTTTTTTATAAGTTCCACGTTCTCATTTTCACAGCAAAGCTGTTTCGCAGTCCTTCTCACCCGTCTTGCTTTCTATTCTTTCTCCATTCCTGTTTTTTTGCTTCCGTTTGTCACATGCAGGCGCCTGGAGCTATTTCGGATGGGGAAGAGAGCAGAGTATGTAACACCTTAACATTCCTTGTGCGTTCTGTGGTGCTGGCGCTTCCCCATGCTCCAGCCTGAGGACACCTGGGAGATTCATGCATAGGCTGGAAACGGTCAGGGTCTGTCGCTGCTCTGCCCCCGCTGAATCCCACCCCACCTGTCTGTGCCCAGCCTGGTCTCTCGCTTGCCTTGCAGACGAATGCCGGGCATCCTGACCTGCTGCCCGCAGCGATGGTGACGTCCTCATTCCCTGGGAGGGGTCGGAAATGCACGTTCCCGCGGTGCACTTGGTGGCTTTTGCCACTCTGGGTCCCCCGAAAGCCAAAAGCAGGGCAAAATGTGGCGCGTGCTTCCCACCCTGCCAGCTGTGCCTCGGGGGCACTTCGGCTCGTGAGCGACGAAGCCCCTGCTTGTGCGAAATCGCTCCCAGCAGACGCTCAGCCCCCCCCCCTTGATGTGCAGGGTGGCCCTGCAAGGGGACCGTGGTTTGCTGGGCGCCACGGGTGCGCTGCTCTCCGATGGCGCACCTGCCTCGGAGGAGTGGCACAGGCAGAGGCCTGGCTTGGCAGGGGAGAGCGAGCGGTGGCCCTGCTGCCCCGGGCAGGCCTGCTGTGCCCCCGCCTCGCCTTGCCAGAGGGCTCCCATGCCGCCCCCCACCTCCCTCCCCGGCCCCTCACGCGCTGGGCCGCCCGGCTGGGCCTGAGGCGCAGAGGGGCACGTGCCGCGCCTGGTCAAGGAAGCTCTTCGTGCGTCCTTGGCTCTTTTCCATCGACACTTCCCGGCACCGTGTCCAGAGGACCGACCGTCTCTTCAGAAATGCCCCGGGGCTCTGCTGCATCGCGGGGACCACGGAAGGGTCCCTCTCGCGCAGGCCACGCCAAGCCGGCAGCCCAGGCCCACTGCCCCTCGCGGCCCGCAGCGGCGCCTCCCCATGGGCGCCTCCACGCCTGGCTTGCCCCCGCGGCTGCTGCGCCCCTGCCTGGACGGGCCAGGGCCGCCCCGGGGCTGGCGCATGCAGCCACGCAGGGCAGCACCAGCTCCTCCCCGCGAACAGCACTTGCGGCTTGGCGCCAGCGCCTTCAGCCGGCCGGGCGACTGGAGGGACTCGCGGGCAGTCCTGGAGCGCATCCTCCGCAGCCGTCGGCTGAGGCTTTGCCGCCCCTGCCCGCGAGCAGCACCCGGGGATGGTCCGCCCGGCCCCTCTGGGGAGCTGTTCTCTCTCGGCCGGGCCTCTCTAGGCTGGCGGGGCCCGGCCCGGGCCCTGCGGCAGCCTCACCACACTGGAGAGGAAAGTCGGGCGGCTCCAGCGGCCCCCTTCCCCCACTCTCCCACCGGCGTTCGCCCTGGACCTCTGGGCCTTCTGGAGGCCGATGCAGGAGGAGTTGCTTGTGGGCGATCTCCCTTGGCGATCCTGGCTTGGCTGCTTTGGAAGGGAACCTGCTTGCGGGCCGGTGGCGCGCGAACAGGTGGCTGCGCTGCTCAGGGTGGGCAGCCCCGAGGCGGGGTGATTCCGCGAGGACGTCACGGCCAGGAGCGTGCAGAAGCGGGTCCCGCCTGCCGGGGACGGGACCGGTTGGGGGGCGCGTGTGCGTGGGGCTGCCATCCACTGGGGAGCTCAGCGCCTCGGCAATCCCCAGGGTCGCTCGGGGGCGAGGGGAGCCCGGGCTTCGCGCCCCTGGGCGGCCCCTCCCTCTTTCCCCCAGGCTCACGGGGCAGCAGCAGCAGCTGGGGGGCAGCCCCGAAGCGGAGGTGGCCGGCGGCCACGTCCAGCTGCATTTCCAGTTTGCCCCACAGCAGGCCGCCTCGCCGTGGTGGGAGGCGAGTGTGGCAGCCGGAGGAATTGCGCCGCGTGCTGGATTCTGGGCTGGGCGCTTCCTCCGTGGCGGTGCCCCCGGGGAGGCGCGCGGCGTGGGCCCTCCGGTCCCGTGGCAGCTGCCCAGAATGCTGAGTGCGCAGGCAGCCCTGCCCTGCCCTGCCCTGCCCTGCCCTGCCCTGCCCTGCCCTGCCCTGCCCTGCCCTGCCCTGGGAAGCCTGCGCTGCCTTGCCCTTGATGGGCTGGGCCACTAATTGCCGCGGTGATGAGCTTTTGAAGCGGCTGCGCGTGAGCCTCGTGGTTCTCAGGAGGCCTCCTCTGTCCCATTCAGCCCTCCCAGTCCTTACTGGCAGGATCCCAGTGTGGAGAAGCTGGTGGACCAGGAAGGCACACAACTGGGGGATTCCATGCCCCCCCACAGCATTTTCGGAAGGAAGCTTTCTGCAGGGGCCCCCTGCCCCCGGCGTCCTCGCGCTGGTCAGCCAGGTGGCCTGGAGGCCCGCTCGGACGTGCGCGTAGCCCATGTCAAAGCCACCGCCACCGCCACGGAGCTCCAGCGGTGTGGCCAGAGGGGGCCGGGCCCCGCTGCGCTGGGAGGAAGCTTGGGCCTGGCCGCCCAGCCTTCCTCGCAGGGCCCTTTCCCACCTCGGTTGGTCGCTGCTACAGGCCTCTCATGTCCTTCTCCTTGCTTTCTCTCTCTCCCTCTCTTGCAGATTCTAGCTGGTAGACCCCTTAAGAAGTGCCGCTCTCTGTTGTGAGTCCGTGTCCTGCTTCTAGCCTGAATGCATGAATGCCCAGTTGCCTTGCAAGGCGGAGCATGTGCCTTTCTCTCCCTCTCCCAGCGTTTCCCCCTCCCGCCCCCCAGACCCCGGCCTCCCGCAGCAGAGTTTTGTGTATGGAGCACCGTGGGGGTTGGAGAAGCGGGAGGGGAGGGAAGACTGCTGGGCTGATGCATCACGCTGTATTTAAAAAGGGTGTGTTAGACGCATGTGCGAAAGGAAGCGGCGTCAGGGTCACCCTGCTCTTGCTTTTCAGTGCAAAACACCGGCATCGGGTTCTTGCCTCTGGAGCGTCCCCAGATTGTCCGGGCAAAGGCTCGCTTATTTCCATTAACTGAGAGACGCAGGAAGGCTCCCGGCGAGCCCCTGTGTGCGAATGAGAGCCCGCTGCTCCTCCTCGAGCGCACAGGCCGGGCGCTGCTCCCTGCGGCACAGGAGTCCCCTGCCAACCGCAGCTGGGCCCCGTGTCCATGCAGTCGCGGGCCCTCCCGGCCGGGGCTATCATGGTGCGGCCTCCGAGGGGCCTCCCTGCCGGCCCCCTCGCGCTCTGGCATGGCCCCAGTTCGGGGGCAGAGTCCCCTGAACGGCCCAGAGGTGCCCTGGGGAGCGGCAAGCAGCTTGGGAGCACGGCTCTGGCCCGGTGCGGGGGAAAGCCCGGCCTTCCTTCGCCCGCCTGGGAGGCCAGGCATGGCAGCCGGCCGGGTTGCCTCGAGCGGGGCGTGTGGGCAGCGTGTCCCGCCGTGGCCGGAGGCCTGGAGGGGCGTCTGCGCGCTTCCTCGCACCTGTGGGTCGAGGCTGAGGGCCGCATTCTGCCCGGTCCCTTGCTGTCTGCGCAGGAGTGCTGGGCCTTGGCATCCTGCGGAGTGGGAGCTCTTGCCGCTTCCAGCGTGGACAGTGGAACTTCTCCTGAGGAGCCCATCCGAGGTTGTTTCTGCCAGGGATGCTTTCAGGGCTGCGCAGGCTTCCCGGAGGAGCCCGGCTCCGTTCCTGGCCATTTGCCTCTTCCCAATCGGCTCCTGAGAGGAGTTTGGGAGCCAGTGTTGTGGGGGCGGTCCGGCGATCTGAGCCACATGCTGGGCGTTTCCGGGCCACCCTTTCGGTCCGCCAGTCTTGCCCGGTGCCGGTGCCGGACCAGTGCGCTTCAGGCAGCGGGAGCAGAGCGTTCGGGGTCATCCCTCGGCGATGGCGGGAAGGAGCGAGCGAGGTCAGCTTCCGCGCTCCTCTCCGGGCCACGCAACACTGCCGGCTCCTCCTGCTCCCGCGTTGTCGCCAAAGCGCGCAGGGCGCTTCTGAGACCCCGCCTGCCTGCTGGGCGGCTCCAGCGCCCGCGCAGACCCTCGCTCTCCGGCTGCGCATGGGGAGGAATCCAGCGTGGTCCCCGACACCCCCTCCGGCCGCGGCTGGGAGGGCGGCCTGCACGCCATCGCCGGTCCGCGGCCTGGGGCTGGCGGGGTGGAGGGCGGCAGCCTCCCGCGCTCTCCCACGGAGTGCCACGGCCCGCTTGGGCGCATGCTCATGTCCACCGGCCCGGGGGGGGGGGGGGGGGGCTTCAGCTCTTCCTCCCAGGATGTGCCTGCAGGAGTTGCCGCTTGCTCCTGCGGGCTCTTCTGGAGTAGCCCCAGAGTGAAACCCACGCGCAGGCACCTGATGCCACGCTCCCCAGCCATCCTGACCCCAGACCTGCCCTTCCCTGCCAGGGTGTCTCTCCCCGTCCCCGATCGGGGGTTGCTGCCTTCGCGGGGCCCTGGGGGCTTCCAGACAGGGCCTGAGTGGCAGGGTGGAGTGCCTGCACCATGCTGGGAGCCCCTCCGGGAGCCCCCGGTGAGGGCCCTGGAGGAGGAGGCAGCGCTGTGCTGGGCCACGGACCGGGCCGGACCCGCAGCCAGGGCAGCCGCCTGCCGCCGCCTCCTGTTCTGTCCCTTTGCGCTCTGTGTGCTCCCTGAGTCTCTCTTGGGGGGGATTCCGGGGGGCATCTGGGGGCACAGCCTCCCCTGGAGCACCTTCGCCCCACCTCGGCCGCTCCTCTGCCCTTCCCCGGGGTGCTTCTGCCCCAGTCGGGCAGAGCCGGCGCCCCGCCTGGGCCAGGACCATGGGCTGTGGCCGCTGCCCTAACAGCCTGTGTCTTGCAGCCTGCGAAGACCGCGAGAGCCCTGCGGACGACCGGGACAGCGACTGCCGCAGCGAGGCCAGCAGCGGGGCGCCCCCTCCGCCCCGCCCCGCCGCCGCGCAGCCCCGGGCCTCGGCGCTCCCGTTCCCGGCGGCCTCCCGCCTGCAGCAGCAGGGCGTCCGCCGAGGCGCCTACGAGGAGCCCGTTCAGGGCTGCGATCCGGCCTGCCGCGAGAGGACGGCCATCAGGTGGGTGCCAGCCCCGAGCCCCAAACGGCTAGCGCACTGGCCCGGGCCCGCTTCACGAGGGCAGAAGGTGCTGCAGGCGCCCGGGGGGCACTGCTCTGCTCTGCGCCCCCCAGCGGCGCGGCCGGCCGCCTGGACGCCCCCAGGAGGCGAAGCGCGTCGTTCTGGGCTGGCAGGCCTCCCCTCGTGCCGCCTCCCTTTCCTTTTGAAACGATGTCCTTGGCAGGGTGGGCCCCTGAACGGGAGTCCCAAGCCAGAGGGACAACCTCCGACTGCATGAACTTGGAATGCCGTCTCCGTCGCAGTTGCAGTGAAGTAGCTAGCAATCGAAACACCCCCGTAAAGCTGAAGGGAAGCGAAGACGCGGGTGGCAGGTTGGACCCAAACATTACGTGAGGGGGTTCACGGCACCCCTCTGCCCCCCCAGCCATTGGCCGCCCCTCGGAAACTCTCAGAGTCCGAGTTTGAGTCGGCGGGCTGTGTGGGACGGAGGGGTGCTGGGCTGCTGTGAGAGGAGGGGGCTCCTCCGTGGGTCTCCGGAGGTCGGCTGGCTCATTATATGCCACAGCCGTTCAAACAGCCCGTGTGTTTTAAGTTCATTTTACCTTGTGTATGAACATTGATTTTTAAAAATAGCCCTCTGAGCTATTAGGGTGGTATATACATGCAAATAATGAATAAATAAAAATGTTAGTTAACAACCCGGAGAGCCTCAGCGATTCGGCGGCATAAAAATGAAACGGATGAAAGCGCAGGAACCTTTGTAAGCAAGCAGTCAGTCACGCCACGGACCCCATGCCAGCAGGCCCTCGGCTGGCAGCAGTCGGGAAGGCCCCGCTCGGAAAGCTGCTTCCTGAACATGGGTGTGCCGTCGCTTGCAGCCGTGTTCCCTCACGAGGTGCCTGCCCCAGACCGCTGGGCCCATCGCTCTGCCTTCGTGACGTTCCTGACTCCAGTGCTGAAAGAACAGGGTGACTCACCGTCGCCCCCGTGCCTTTGAACGGGCCAAACGGCTCAATCCAGACGTTTGCTTCTGAAACATGCAGAACCACGCACAGAAACAGAGCGAGTCGGAAGCGGCCTCCTGGCCATCTAGTCTGACCCCCGGCTCCAGCCGGCTCCGCTCACGACATGCCCACCATGTGGACGTCCAGCCTATCTTTGAACACCTGCACCGATGGGGCCTCAAACACCTCCTGTGGAAGCCCATTCCACACCCTCGGGGTCCTAAAAGACCCCCTCAGAGTTGCCTCCAGGCTGAAAAGAAGCATAGAAACAGAGCGAGTCAGGAGGGACCTCCTGGGCCATCTAGTCTGACCCCCGGCTCCAGCCGGCTCCGCTCACGGCATGCCCACCATGTGCATGTTGGTGTTCCCGCGGCCCCAAGCGCCAGGCACGGAGGAGGAGCTCCAAGAAGGCCTGCCGGGGCTCCCCTTCGACTGAGGCCAGCAAGAGAGAGAGTCGAGGGGAGATGGCCACACATTCTTGGCGAGGGTGCTCAGAAATCGGGACCACCCGAAGCCCTGGTGGAGAAGGCATGGGCCCAGGACGCTGCCCGGGCTGAACTCCTCCCTGGTGAGCAGACATGACTCTTCAGCACCTTTGGGCCGCCGGGAAGGAGGCGCTGCTCAGTTTCAGGATTTTGTATAGGTTAATCTTTTATCTGTGCAGCTTTTGGGGCAAATCCCCCCAAGTATTCCTTGAGTCCAGGGGGTCGGCTGACGCTCTTCGACTAAGCAGGGAGCGTGAGGGGCCCCCGGCCGCGTGAGGGCCGGCCGGCGCCCTCCTTCCTTCCGAGCAGCACATCCACGTTCATGCAGTCGGGGTCTTGTGCCTGGTGTGTGGCCCCTGCGGGACCCTCCCCTGCCTCCGTGTGTTCTGCTCATGGGGGCATCCGAAAGCGCTCCTGGCCGATGGCCGGGGAGGCGCTTCCTGCGCGGGGGGAGCGCAGGCCCTTTCCTCCGCCCGTCCTCGAGCGCTGGCCCTGCCTGTCTCCGCCATAACGTGCCGCATCCTTTGCAGGGGTTTCTGGGAAGCGGGATGTGGCTGTCCAGGCAACTGGACTTGCCCAGGCGACCTCGGTTCTGCTCTTGCCGCAGCGGATTTTGCCCAGGCCTTAAAGCTTCTTAGAAGCAGGGCGGCCCCGACTGCCTCTCACCCGCCGGGAGGCAGTGGCCTGAACCAGAGGCGGTCCCAGAGACGGTGTCCGTTTGGGTCCCTCTCTCTGATTGAAGGGGGACCCCGCTGCACCCACTGGGGGGCTTCCGGATGGATCCTTTGCCCCGGTGGTCTAGCGCGGGGGGCAAGCTTCAGGGCCCCGAGTCGGCGGGTTGGAAGGGTGCTGCAGGCAGTGGAAAGGCCCGACCAGCCACGCCTGGCCTGAGGTTCGGGGGCATCGCTGAGCGGGAGAGGAGGGGCTGTGGCCGCAGGCGGGCAGAATTGGTGGACCCCCACACCGCCCCCCATGCCTGGCAGCTGTTCAGAGGTTGGCGGCAGCCACCGGGGGCTGGGACAGGGCCCCCGGGGAGGGAAGCCCCCACTGTCCGCACATGGCGCACAGGCCCCCGCGCGCCTCCCCCCGTGGCCTGGCCCCTGCTGGTTGGCTGCACGTCAGGGGCAGCCTTCCCGGCTGCAGCCTGGCCCCTGGCACCGCGCAGGCACTGGCCCTCCCGGTGCTGCCGGCACGGGTGTCCGCTGCGCCTCTGCGGCCCCCGGCCCTCACGCCTCTAACTTCTCCTTGCCTTCGAAGAAGATGCGATAGCTTAGACTCCACCGTGAGTGGCCGGACTGACCTGGACTCTTCCTCGCGGTCTAGTCGCGTGACGAGCCGCCAGCTGTCCCTGGAAAGCCGGCACTCGCTGGAGTGGTCGGATAGGTGGGTGGTGCTCGCAGGCTCGCTGCCGTGTGTCCTCGGTGTGGCTTTGCTCCCCTGGGGCCCCGGGCGGCTGTCACGCTTGCATGCCTCGCATGCCCGGGCCCGGAGCAGGCCGCCGGCTCGGGGGCCCTCCTGCTCCAGCGCCCGGTCGCTTCGGCTTCCTTGGGAGGGGAGCGTAAAACGGCTGCATCGGAGCTGCTGCAAGGCAGGAGGCGGCAAACCCGGGCTATGTCTTGGGGGCCGGGCAGCTGCCGTCTCTCCGGCTGCTCCGCCCAGCAGCCGCCTTTGGGCTTGGAGTCATTTTGCTGGAATTGCAGGATGCACGGTTCCAATCCTGACTCGACGGCGGCAGTCGGCTCGTGCTGTGAGCTGCCCCAGTGATAGTCTTGTGTTCGGCTCCTGCAAAGCTGTCTTTTGGCCACGAGAGACGCCCTGCAGACGGGCTGATTTCAGTCGAGCCGGCTCGATACTGATGCTCCCACTGGCAGCGCCTGCCTGTCCAGATCATGGCTTGCAGCACGGCCTGGTCACCCGGCTAAGGCCCTCGCAAGGCAGGCGCTTGTGAATGACTGGGATCGTGGCCACCCCGAGCTCTGTCGGAGGGATGCTTCCCTGCGGAAGCTGGGCTGGCGGAAGAGGCAGTTCTCAGTGCCTCCTCCTCGCCTGCCCCCCCGCAGTCGCGGGACCCCCCCAGAACAGGCTGTGGGAAGAAGGGGGGCGGCAGTGGCCCCTTCCCCTCCCGGTGGGAGCTTGCCCGAGTTTGCTCTCCTTTGGGCTCGGAAGGGGACTCTCCCTGTACACCTTGGCAAGCCTGCATCCCGTCAGTCAGTTTCCTTCTCTCTTCCTCCTGCCATGAACCCAGCAACTGTGCAATCATAAGCTGCAACGACAGTAAGTCCAGAATGTTTTCTCACATTTTGAGGTATAAAACCTTGTTAGCGCTGCCAGTATGCCGAAACATTTTCATTTGTTCCAGCGTATGCATATAAATCTGTATTCAGTTTGCTCTTTATGAATATCTCCCGTCGAAGCATTATGTTAAAGCTCTTTTTTCACCCACCTTGCTCTTTCCTTTTTCTCTTTGCCCTTCTGTCCTTTTCACACTTTTTTCTCCGCATGTATCAGACAAGGACCTTTAGTTAGCGATGGAAGAGTCAGAATCATTCCGTTTGAGTATGATCTTGGCCGAGGAGAGTCTGATGAGGACTGTGAGGAATTAGGCAAGCAATTAATAGAAGAATTCTTGGAACAAAGTCATAGGACGAGAACGTGGCAGGAGCGGAAGAGCTCCGGGCTCTGCGCACAGCAGCGCTTGGGCCACCACGACCGATCGAGGGTCGCCCGGAAGCTTTGCACAGAAACGGGGAATGTGGGCGTCCCCTGCTATCCAGAGGAATATGACACAATCGATCGGAGAAGGAAAAAGAAGCTAAGGTACAACAACTTCGAAGAGTGCGAACTCACAAGGCCACACAGCAGAGGAAACCTGCAGCCGCCCCGCGAGACCGTCGGTTCTTCAGATGCCATTCAGACAAGAATGGGACATAATATTTGTCCCGATTATGAAGAAACGGAGAGACGCAGGAACGGTGGCATGGGAAGCGAAGAATGCTTCGTGGCGTGTCCGTTCTTGCGTCCTTACAAGGATGGCTTTGTCGTCAAGAGTGGCTCGTTGCTGGTGGGCCAACAGGCGGCCCGTGCCGCCAGATCCGCTCCCTTTGGAGGTGACGGAGGGATGCGCCCAGTACCTCCGCCGGGCGTTCTGGAGGAGTTCGACAGCAGCGCCTCCGAGGACCTCCAGTGCTCTCCCGCTTCAGACAATGACGACACGGAGATCGTGCTGTTCTCCCAGGCCTGGCGCGAGTCGCGCGCTTGCCGGGCCGGGGGCACCCCTCCCGGAAGTGCCGTGCCCCTGTTCCCGAGGGAGAAGACTCTGCCCCGGCTGCAGGGCCAGCCCAGGCTGGATGCGGCGCTCTCCCCCGTCGAGGAGCCGGCCGAGGAGTACGTGGACGCAATGGGAGAGCTGCAGTGCCTGGTGGAGACCGTCTCTGAGTACTTAGCGGAGAAGGAGGAGGAGATCAGCAAGTTTGGCTCCCTCCCCAAAAGTGAGAGGGCGGCCGAGGGCTCGCCCCCGAGGCAGGCCGGGTCCGAGAGGCAGGTGGAGGAGCGTGGCCCTTCGGAGGCGACCACAGAGGGCAGCGGGGATGGCAAAGGTGTGCCGGAGGCCCTGCCGGGGTTGCTTGGCGTCAGGAGCACCGTGAGCTCCTTCTTCGGCTCGCTCACTGAAAAGGTGGGCTCGGGCACGAAGAATTTAGCCTCCTCCGTCGAGAAGCTTGTGTCCTCCGCTCCAGAGAAACCGGACGCCCTGGGCCAGCCTGAGGAAGGCACAGCAAATCAGTTCTCAGGCAGCCCCAGGCCAGATAGCGTCTTGCTGGAAGGAAAGGCAGAAAGCACACCTGGCGCGACATCCTCTTCCTCGGCCCAGAATCGCTCTGCAAGAGGAGCCGGCCCGGCCGCCCCAGAGGGCACCGGCCGTGAGGACAAGGCTGCCGCTGCCCCCACCGCCCAGGATCCTTCGGCCACCAGTGCGCAAAGGCAGTCCTCCTTTCAGAATCCAGCTTCGGTTGTGAACTCGGTCTTGGGCATGTTCAACCCATTAAACGTCTTCTCTGAAAAAGAAGCGCCACAGAGAGAGAGCTCAAAGTCCGAGGGCTCCATTAAGCCCGAGGCCTCGCCCGCCGGTGTTTGCGAAGGCCAAGCAGGCGAGAAGCCGCATGAAGACGGCCCAAAATCTGCAAATGCAGCTCCTGAACTGAGCAAGAGCGAGGCGGAAGCCGGCCCAAGCAGCGGTGCCGTGTCCTCAATCTTTGGTAAATTGTCAAGCTCAGTCAGTTCTTTTAGCCTGAAAGCCAGTTTTGAGAGCTTGGCAGTTCCCAAACAGTCTGCTGGGCCACCGAAGGCTCCCCTTGTGCCTCCCATCTCAAAGCAGCCCGATAAAATTGTTGAACAGCGTCCCGAAATCCAGCCCCATCCCGCGAGAAAGCCAACGGAAAACAGGCCAAGTGGCGGGCCCAAGGGGGCTGACGCACAGCCACCAGACGCGGGGGAATCATTTCCTAGCTTCTTTAGTCCACTAAAGAAATCTTTTAGCCAGTTGCTGATTCCTTCCACTCCTGAATCTGCTCCAAAAGAGGGGCAGCAGGCAGGCCTGGGAAGAAGCCACCAGTCTGAAGACGACGTCCGGACAGCCTCCTCCACAGACACGGAGAGCAGTTTCTCCCTTGCTCACAAGCTCCAGATTCCCTTTTTGAGCAGCTTTAGCCTTGCAGACAGACGGCAGGAGAGCAAAGAAAAGGGAGGCGTTTTCACCTCGTTCCTGAAAGTTGCTTCTGCTGAAAACGTGGCAGCTTCGAAAGATCAACCTGGCAGGCCGAGCTTTGCGGACAGACCGCTCGATGCTGACGAGGGGCACAAAAGCAGCCACCCGGGGGCGATCGGGACCAGCTCGCCAAAGCCTCCTCCAGTTCCAGAAGGGCCTTCGAGCCAGGAGGCGCCGAAGAAGGAAAGGGATGCTGCTGGCGTTAATGGCTCGTGTGTGCCAGGAAGTGGAAATAAAACTGCAGTTGCTTTAGACTCTTCAAAGGTTATGCACACAGAACACGGACCCGATCGCCTGAGCGCCAGTGAGGAGGCCAAGGATGGGGGTGCCGAGGCAGCGGCCACGCCGCAAGCGCCTGGCTTGAATGCTAAGGCAGAAGAAGCTGGGCCTGCTAGCGGCATCAAGGAGGACAAGATGGTGGACCCAACTCAGAAGAAGGCCACGCCGCAAGGCCTGCTTTCGGGACTTTTTCGGCAGTCTTCCTCTGACCGTCTGGCCCACGTTAAACATGAAGCAGATGATCAAAAGAGCAGCACGCCTGGCCTGCTTTCTGGATTGTTCAAATTTTCTTCGAGTGAAAATGTGTCTGAATGCAAGCCAGATAAAACGAAAACACACTCTCTTGGCAGCATAATGAGGATCTTTGAAAGGGGTGAGGAGACCGTTTCTGGTGACAAATCTGGTGGCTCCGAAGAGTCTCCCAGGCCCCAGGCAAGCGCTGGGGAGAAACAGGAGACCGGTGGCTTCCTAAGGAACCTAATGCTTAAGCCAAAAGAAAAAGTAGAGGAGAAGGCGGTGGAGGCCTCTGGCCGGCCGAACGACCACGGGCCCAGCACCGACGGCAGGCTCAGCGAGCATGTCCCTTTCCACCGGCGCTCCGTCTCCCAGAATTTCCTGAGTTCCCAGTCAAACGTACAAGACTTATCAGGGAGACCAACCCTGTATAGACGAGAAACAGATTCCAACATTTATCAAACTGCTCTCAGTGAAAGAGCCAGTGAATCGCTCAGTTCTTCTTCCCTCGCCGCTAAGCTGTATGGCCCGCCGCATGCTTTTGAGGAGAGCAGGAGCCATTCCAGCTTTGATTGGGACTATGGCGCCGGAGGATTCTCCCCGCATCCCTTCCAGGTTTCCTTGCCAGTGTACTATGTCTTAAACCAGAACTCCACCCGACTGGCTGAATTTCTGGACTGGCCAGAATCCAGTGACACAGTGATGAATTTGTGTAAAAAAGATGGAAACGCAAATGTGATCAGCTGGAAGTCGGATGCAAATTTCGATGCACACAGCACAGATTTAAGCGTCACGTCGTATGATTCATTTGATCAACTACACTTCCAAGATTTATGCCCAGAGGAAAACGAGCTGTGGGCTCCTCAGCTGAACGGAGACCTTTCTCCCTTTGAATGCAGCTACGCTTTGGAAGAGATGCCCATGGACCTGAGCTATTCATCTGCTTGCGACGGGAATGTGTGGGCCCTGATTGACCACGACACCCTGAGTGTGGACGGAAGCCTTCTTGGCTCGTCGTACAGCCAGGAGTACCAGGACTGGCTGATGCTGCTTCAGCATGGCATGTGGTGGCCGTCCGAGGACGGCGACTGCGGGCACTACCTGTACAGCGATGGTCAGTACGTCTATTCGCTCCTCACGGACCCCACTGGACAGTACGTGTACGTGTGCGCTCCAGACACACCCGCTCACCCAGACTATTGGGACCACAACTGCCTCATCTTGGAAGACAGCCCGATTGCCGTCTGCGGCTTCAAAGTTCCTCTTGATAATGAAGACGAGTTGTTCTGGTTTGCCGAAGAGGAGCAGCTGGATAATTACTCTGTAAGCAAGCCACTGGATTTGTCTGTCGCTCTGCAAAGGAGCGATCAGCTTATGAACATGAACTTGGAGACCTTCTCACAAATGTTTGAGGAGTCCATTTATTCCCAGCGAGAGCAGCCTTTGGACTTTTCGGGGTACAGGCTTCAAAAACTCAAGGTCGACCTCAGACCTGAGAGAGAGCCAGAGTGGCACTCGGGAGAGCCCCCGCTGACCCTGGACCTGAGGGTGCCCTCCAGAGCATCGTCTGCGGGCAGGTCGAGGGAGGACGTCCAGCCCACGCAGCCCGACAGAGCCCCTGCTGCAGCGCTCCGTGAAAGCAGGTCGTTGGGGCAGCTGGACCCCCAGACCTTCCCCGCATCTCCTAAGCCTGACCTTCCGTTAGGACCTCAAAGCGCAACAGAAATCAAAACATCTGAAGATAAAAAGCCACCAGTGAACAAAGTCACGTCTTTGTTTTCTGCTTTGGGTGGCTTGATTGGAAAGGGTTCGGATGGGCACAAGCCTCCAGAAGATGAGGCTACAAAGAAGGTCGACACTTGCCCGGAAGTGCTGGGACACAGAAATGAAGCTCTTTCGGCAACACCCCCTAGGAAAATGGGGGCGGATGCTCAGAACTCTCAGCACATGTTTGCTGAGCGCAAATCAGTGGTAAAAGATTCAGACGGGTTCGGTCAGTTAGACTCTGTTGGGAAAGAAAAGCCGGTGATTTCTCCAAGTGCTCCCCAGAAAGGGGTGCCACTGGCCAAGTCTCCCCCTCTGCTGAGCCAGGGCCCCGCTCCGAGCCGTGCTGCCCAGCTGAGCGAACGTGCCGAGCCGGCTCCCCCCGCAGGGCAGCAGGGGCCCCGGGCGGGCGTGGAGCAGCCCAGGAGAAGCCCGCCAGTCCCCAGCCAGTCGTCCTCAGAGGCCGAGGGCACGTTGTTCAAAAGCGCCCTGAAGATGTTCAGCCTGGGAGAAGACTCCTCCACAGCCGCGGCATCGGGTAAAAGCCAAGCTTCCGGATTCTTTGATTTCTTCAAAACACAGGTAAACAAAGCACCCGAGGCATCGCCGTCGCCGCAGCCAAATTTGGTGAAAGATGAAAGGCAGAAGGAGGCGTCTCAGGAGAAGGCGGAGCCCGCAAGCATCTCATCCTTCTTTGGCTCCCTGGGGGATCTTTTCAAGGCTGACGCAGCACCTTCCCCGCCAAAGGGGGGCGCCGCCGTCCCACCAAAGAGTGGGAGCCAGACCTCCTTGGGAACCCAGGAGAGAACCGACCCACATGGCAGAGGGAGCGCGAAGAGCGCCGCGCCTGCTTCACGAGCCCCGGGGCTGCAGGCTGGTGCAGAAGCTGGCAAGACGCCCGGAGCTCCTGATGAGGAGCCGCGCGGGAAAACGGGCAGGGGCCCTGCGGAAGCGAAGGCAAGCCCCCTCGGCAGTGCAGAGCACACGCCCCCCGTGCATGCCCGGGAGAAACCCTCGGCGCGGCGTCCTGCTGGAACGGCTGCTCCTTCAGGAAAGCCAGCCGGGAGCCGCGCGGGAGCCGTGCCTGAGCAGACGCGGCTGGGCAAGGCCGACCAGCCTCCCCGGGAGACTGGCTTCGGCCTGCCCTTGGGCTTCCTACGGGCTGCCCCTTCCAAGCCTCAGCCCGCACAGCAGCCATCCAGCCGGGGCATCCTCTCTTTCTTCACTGCCTCAGAGAACCCGCCGGCGCCCACCCCTTCTTCGGCAGCTCCTAACGCCAGGCCCCCCGAAGCCGAAGGTCTGTTCAAGATCCCCTCTTTTCTGTCGGGGGGACCCACTGCAAAGAAGCCCGTGCCGCAAAGTAGCTCCAGCTTCAGCTTTTTCAATCTGACCTCCTTTTTGGATGAAAAGCCACCAGCCCCTCCTGAGAAAGGTAGCCGTGCACAGCCGCCTCCGCAGCAGGCGAACAGCCGTGCACAGCCGCCTCCGCAGCAGGCAAATGTGGCGCCGCCTGTGCAGCAAGGGGTGTCTGTGAACTCCGGCACGGGAGCCGCCAAACAGCAGGGCCTGGCCGAAGAGGAGCCCGTGGCCAGCCTTGGGGAGGCCCCGCGTCCTCAGCCGGAGGGCGATGGCCAGCAGGGCAAGGACAGTGACGCAGAGGCCCTTCCTGTCCCGCACGTGGTGGAAGGGGATCCAGAAGCAGCCGGCGAGGGAGAAGCGCCGCCTGGGGAGGGTGCGGGTAGGGAAGAGGGGCCTGTGCGCCCCGAACCCGCCCTCGCCGTGCCTGAGCCGCAGGAGGGCTGCGGGGCCTTGCCCGAGGAGAGCCCCGAGGCCCCGGAACAGCCGCAGGAGGGCCCGGCGGAGCGGGAGGACCTTGCGCCAGCCGCCCAGCAGCAAGCGGCTCCTGCGGGCACAGGGGAGGCGCCGGGAGGCAAGGGGCCCAGCCCGGGTCTCGGCCCGGCCCCTGTGGAGCAGGCGGTGGCGGCCGCGGGGGCCGGAGACGTCCCGCAAGCGTCACTCCCTGAAGGAAGGCCACACGCGCCGCGGGCACAGCTGGCCGATCACATGCCCCCCAGAGCCGCTGTGCAGCAGGCTCCGGGGCAGGGACCCCCACCCAAAATGCCGGCAGCATCGCGCCCGCGGGAGAAGCCCGGGGAACCCACGGGGGACAAGTCGGTTCTGGATAGCTCGGTGGAGATGCTTTCCAGCTTCATGACGAAGATGAAGCCCAGTAGCTCTCTGTCCGGCTTCTTCTCCCCCACGCAAGCCCCGGCAGCTCCGGACGTCTCCAGGGCACAGAAGAAAAGCACATTTTTTGGCTTGTCCTCTCTGCCGAGTGGGCCCACCCCAACCTTTTCCGGCGATCTTTTTGGCCTGTTCAAAGGGGCGGCGGCAGAGGCTCCTTCAAAGCCGGCAGGGCCGCCCAAGCCTCAGGGCGCTGGCCCCAGAGCCAAGGGGGCCGGGGGGCAGCTCCCGGAGGAAGGCTCCGCAGGGCAGGGCCAGGGCAAGGGAGCCCAACCGCAGGAGGCCCCGGAACCGCGAAAGCCGCCATCTGGAGGCGAGCTGTTGGGGACAGGCGCCGGCAGTGTCCCGGCACACGGGGACTCCACAGGCCGGGCGGAAGAGGGCTCGGCAGAAGGCTCCGTGGCGAGGGCGGACATCGACGCGCACGAAGAACCGGCTCCCGGTCAAGAGCCGCCAGCGCATTCTCCAGAAACAGCCGTCCTTGGTGCAGCGCATGACTCTGGAACGCCCCAGCCGGACGCTGACGGGCAGACCTCCGATGGAGGGGCGAGTGTGCGCCCGAGCAGTCAGGCGGAGGGTGGTGCGTCCGAGGCAGAACCGCCGGAGAAGTGTGAGGTCCACGAGGAGACTTCAGGGGAGCAGGCTGCTGCCCCTGCGGCCGCGGCTGTGACGGGAGAGCAGCCAGGCCTGGAAGAGGGAGCCGGCGTCGCTGTCGGCCAGCCAGATGCGACCGTAGTGCCTGAGCTCGCTGACAAGGCAGAGGAGCTCGTGCGCCAGGCCGACGTGGGTGAACAGGGAGCTCTGAGCAAGGAGGCAGATGTGGAGGCTCGGGCGCCAGATGCCGTTGACGTCCTGGAAGAGCGGCCCCAAACAGCCGCAGCTGAGGCCTGCAGTGTGCCGCCCGAAGACGGGGAAGGTGCCCCTGAAGCGGATGCCGCCCCAGCAGAGCCGAAAGAGCCGGTGGCAGGCGGGGAAGCAGCCCCAGAGGGCAGTGCGCCGAAGAGTGGCTCAGGCCGGGAGCATGGGCTGGCCAGCGCCCCCGGGGATGCCGGCAGCGCCAAGCCCCTCTTTGAAATCCCAAGCCTTCCGGCGTTGCCAAAGTTCAGCTTCGTGCCTTCCTCAGAGAGTGGGAAGCCGCTCGGCTCCTTCTTCTCCTCGTTGCCACGGCCGCCTTTGGCGAGCAAGGCTGCAGCCGAGCCCGGCCTCGTGTCCGGCTTCAACAAGTTCTCCTCGACACTGTTTGGCGGGGGAGGCAGCGAGAGGGCCGGCAGAGCGGAGAGCGCCCCAGGGGCCGTGTTCGGGCGGAAGCTGGACTTCTCATTTCCATGGCAGAAGGACACCAAGGAGGAGGGTGCCAAGAAGGAACTGGACGCACCGCCGGCAACTTCCTCTGGACATGCCGGGCCATCGGAGGCTCTGTCCAGACCCGATTCCAAGCCACCAGAGGCTGCGTCCGGAGCTGAGGAGCAGGTACCGGAGGTGGCCGAGGGCGAGTGCAGGACCGTCTCGGCTGATCAGCCTGCCGGCCACGCTGCGGAGGCAGGGCAGTCCTCCGAGCGGCCTGGCCACGACAGCGAGGAGGGCCCCGATGGCCCTGCGCCCGCCATCTCCGTCGAGCCTGGCAGGGAGCTGGAGGAGGGCACCTCCGAGGCATCGGAAGGCGAGCCTGGCGCGGCTTGCAGTGGCCCCCCTGCCCCCCCTGTGGAAGAACCGGGAGCAGGGGTAGCCCCAACCCAGGAGGAGCATGCCCCTTGCGCAGAAGCGGAAGCGTCTGCTCCGGAGCCGCGGCCCGAGGAGAGGAGCAGCACAGAGCGCCCCGAGAGAAAAAGGCCAGTAGCCGCACGGCATAATAAACGGGCTGCCTTCCTGCCGTTTATTATGCGGGTGCCGGAGCAGCTGGTGGCCGGCTCCTCCGTGGCGCGTAGCATCCGTAGCACCTGGTGCTGAGAGTGGTGAGCGCCAGCCGCTAGATGCCCCCCGCCCACCCCAGCGCCCACACCCCTCGCCCCCAAGCCCGCCCTAGTGCCGCTTTGCTCTCCTTCCCCGCCGCGTCTCCACGCAGGAGGAGCCTTGGCCGGGCCCTCCTTTGCCCCCCGGGCCTCGTGGCTCGGTGGCAGCAGCCGGTGCTGGGAGCAGCCTGGGGCCCCCCCTTGGCTGGCGGGGTGGGGGGCAGAAGTCGCGTGCCGGAGACCGCCTGGGAGAACAGGGCCCCAGTGGAGGGTGTGCTGGGCATGCGAGTGTGGGGACGGGGATGTGGGGCACGCGCCGGCAGCCAGGGCACCGTGGTGCATGACGCCTGGCGAGGCAGGCTGCCTCCGGCACGCGCGCCCCCCGGCTGCCCCGCCAGCGTGCCGCCGGTCCCGGCCCTCGGTCCTGTGGCCGCCGGGGTGGCCCTCGCTGCTCGGACGCGCCACGCCGGAGGTGCCGGTCCAGCACTGGGGCCTTTCAGGGCGCCTCCGGCAGGGGGGCCTCTGCCGCTTCTCGGAAACGCCTCGGCTGCCCCCTCGAGGGGGCTGCCCTTGCTGCACACCGTGGCGACGGAGAGGGAGGGGCCGTGGGGCCTGGCCACGGTTGCCCGCCCCTGCCGCCTCGCCCAGCACAGCGCCTGCCCGGCCACCCGGCTCTGCCAAGCCCAGGTGCCCCGACTGTTTGGGGGCTTGGCTGCAGCCTGTGCCGAAGCTGCTTTGGGGTCCCCTGCAGGCGGCACGGAAGCATCCGCCCCGCCGCATCCCGCCCCGGTTCTGCTAGGGCTTGGCGGCGGAGGGGCCACGTGTGGGTGCCTCCCGGGGGAGCAGCTTGGGGGCAGGAGCTGCACCCCGACCCCTTTGCGCTGACACGGCAACGGAGGCCGCGTGGTGCCGAGGGGGGCTCGTCCGGGCAGCCGCGGGCAGCGGAGGCCGAGCCTTGGGGTCTGCCCCAGGGACCGTGTGGGGGAGGCGGGTTCTGACGGTTGGCCCCCGCCAGGCGTGGTGAGTGGCTGGCACAAGCGAGGCGTTTGCGGGGGCGGTGCAGCCCCTGCCCAACCCGGCAGGCTGGAGCCTGACACCGACCCGCACCGGCGCCGCCTTGATGGGGCGCCCCCGCTCCCGGCTTGCCGTGCGTGTGGTTGTGAGTGCATGCGCTGCGCTGCCGGGCTGCCCCTCGTGACAGTCGCTTGCTGGCCGGCCGGCCTCTTGCTCTTCGCGCGCGGCCAGCGGCTCTGACTCCGGTTCCTCCTGTGGCAGCAGCCAGGACAGCTCTCAGCTGAGCGAGCCGGACCACAACCGCGACCACGGGAGCGTGCCTGACTCCGAGCACGAGGATGAGCTCCCGGAAGCCCTTTCCGCGGCTCCTCTCGAGAGGGAGGGCCGGGGGTCCTCTGGTGGACCACCGCACGACTCCAGGGCGGAGCGGACGCCCGGCAGAGCAGAGGCGGCGCCCCCGGCCGAGCGGGAGGAGGAGGAGGAGGAGGAGCAGGCCCCGTCGCTGCCGCCTGCAGTGGCCGAGGGGCCCGGCCCCGTGGCCGTGGGGCCGGCAGACAGGTGGGTGCCTCCCGCTGCCCCCGTGTCCCGGGGCGGAGCACTTTCCCCACAGAGCTCCACCTTTGCCTCTGGGGTGGGGGGGCTCAAAGAGGGCATCGGGCCGTGCGTCGCGCCGGGGAGCGCCGGATTCCTGCCGCCAGAGGCGCGACGGAGAGCTGCGTCATTCTGACTGGGCGGTGGATCCGATGCCTGCTGCCCCCGGTGGGCCGTGTCCCCTGCGTGTGCTGCAGACTGGCCCCCCTGCGGCTGCCCCCGACCGCTCATGCTCCCTGGGCAGATGCTGCTGCCCGCTGGGGGGCGGGCTCGTTCCCATGGTGAGAGGGCTCCGTTGTGGCTGACGGTGGCTCGCACACGCCACCTCACCAGTCCCCTTCTTTCTCCTCCAAGGCACCCCGAGGACAGTGAGCCACTGCCGCTGCTCCCTGCGAGGACCCGCTGGATCCAGGCCATCAGCAAAGTGCGGCTGCGCCTGCAGGAGGTAAGGCCAGCAGAGCGCCGCCCCCCCCCCCCCCGGCCCGTTGGTGCTGCGCTGGAAGGCTTGTTGTGCGATGGAGCTGTGCTGCCAGGGCTCATGGGCAAAAGCGCCAGAGAAGCCCCTGGGTGTGGGAATCTCACAAGCGGAGCAGGCCAGAACTGTGGGTCAGACTAGATGACCGGGTGTTCCTTCCGTCTCGCTCCGTTTCTGTGTCCTGCGTCTCTCGTGCAGCGCGTCCCATGTCCCGCGGCTGACTGGGTGGTGGTGGGCTTTGCCCGTTGGCGGTATGGTGCAGCGAGGGCCGCGTTCAGTCGGGAGCACCCCCGCGGGGGGACAGGACGGGGCTGCGAGGCCGCAAGGAGCGGTGCCAAGGGGGCGAGGAGGGGAGCCGCCGGGCCCCCTGCCAGGGCCTTTCTGATCCGCAGGGCTGCCGCGGCGGGCAGGCGAGGCTGTGCTTGCCATGCCGTGCCGGGCGCCTCCTGCCCTTGCGCCAGGCGACCGAGGCCGGGTCGGCCCTGGAGAGGGGCAGGGCTCCCACCGGCGGGCCGCGTGCGGGGTGCTGTGCGCAGGCAGGAGCTGCATGGCGCAGCTGAGCTGGCGCCTCGTGGGGCCGCCGTGGCCGGGCGCGTGTCCCCCATCGGACGGACTGTTGGCCCGCCCTCACGCACTTCCTGCAGCGAGTCATCTTTCCCACAGTCCAGGTCCTGGTTGCATCTGCCCTCTTGGCGCAGGTCAGGTTTTCCTCGGCAGGAATAAACGAAAGGAGCACCGGATGCTCTGATACCTCTGAAAGGTGTCAGTTAAACTGAATTGCGAGCTCCAGACAGCTTTAAGACATACAAATTACTTAAAAGCTCTGTTGCCAAAGCGCCTTGGGAGGAAGCGCGTGTGACCCTGGCCTGCCTCAATGTCTGGCATATGCTGCCTCAGCTCTCACTAAATTATTTAAGCCGCTTAGTAATTTAGTCGAGGAGCCGAGCATCCCGAGGCCTCGGAGGCTGCTGCACCTGCAGAGACCCGGTGGGGCCAGCACGCGGGGCTCCTCGTGGGGTGGGCTCCCCCACCCGCCTCGTGCTGAGGCAGAGGGCTCCGGCGGGGGGCACAGGCGTCTTCTTGGGGGCGAGGCGGGGGAGCCCCCCGTGGACCATCGGGACCGCTCGCCTGGCCCCGTTTGAGGTGTGTGCGTGGCGCTTCGCTGCTGCAGAGGGGCTGCTTCCGGGGGCGTCCGCTCGGCGTGGAGCTTGCTGAGCCACGCGACGAGCGCCTCTGCAGCCCGGCGCTTCTTGTGGCGGTCACCGGGGCGCCCGTCCAAGTCCGGGAGCTCGTGCACAACCCGCATGTGAGACAGATTCGCTGCCGCCAGGGGGGCAGACTGCCGGGTTGCGGGTGCCCGGGCAGGGCTGCAGGAACACCCCGAATTACCCTGACCTGAAGCAGGGGCTGGGCTTGGTCCCCGGCCGTGGGCCACGGCGTCCAACGAGTCCCAGCCCCCCCAAACTGGCGCTGGGGCAGGTGCTGCGTGATGCTGCCCGTGCCTTTTCGTGGCTCCGGGTGACGCCGCCTCCAGGGCGCTCCCCGGCCACGAAGCTTCGGGGACGGCAGAGGCACGCAGGAGTCGGTCTCCCCGTTTCGGGGGAATTCCTCTGCAGCTGAGCTGCGGACAGGCCACGGCTGGGCCTGGGTCAAAGCAGGACGTGGCCGACTGAACGCCTTCGCGGGCGGGCGGGCGGGCGGGCAGGGGTGCGATCCCGGCCGGCCGGCCGGCTCCTTGCTTGTCTGGCTGGGCCACCCGACCTTCGTGCAAGGAATGTGGGGCCTTCGCTGCCTCCTCACCTGGGCAGTGCGAGGAGCCCAAGGGCGGCCTGGGCCCCCGCCCCGCCCGGAGGCGCAGGGAAGCCCTTCTCCAGGGGAGCGAGGGGCTGCCAGGGACCCGCGCCCTGCGCCGCGCGTAACGGGCGTGCCGGGCAGGGCCTGCCCTTGGCTCCCCTCCCGGCGGCCCGTTCCTCGGGGACTGGCCTGCGCTGGCCTGGGCGGGGGTCTGCACGGAAGGCCATGTTTGGGGCGGCATGTGACTGAGCCGGAGGGAACCAGCTGAGCAGCTGCGTCTCGCCCGGGTCGCTCTCCCTAGTGCAGCGGGGGGGTCCCCCTGGTGGGGGCAGTGCGCGCGCTGCGGCTCTCTTGCTCGGCTGGCGCAGCCCCCCCCCCCCCGGTTCTTGGCGGGCTTTTGCAGCTGGCCTGGGCTGCATGGAAGGGGCAGCGGGAGAAAGGGGAAGGCCTGCCAGTGCCCAGTTGCCCGCGGCCGGTCGAGCGGCCGGCTGCTCGCGCCCCACTCCGTGACTCCGTCCCACGTTCTCAGCACTCGGTTCAGCGGTGTGCAGGCCACTCTGGGGTTCAGGATGAGGCCCGCGCGTCACCGGAGCGCTGCGGAGCGGCTGGGTTCCTGGCCAGAGCGACTTGCCGCCTCCCGTGCAGCCAGTCGTCCTCACAGCCGGTGGCCTCTGGGTTGGGAAGAAAGCCCTCGGTGGGAATGCGGTTGCCGCAGGGCCCGGTCTGCCCCCCAGGTCTGGAATCTGCAGGCGCGCCGGTAGGGGCAGAGCGTCTCCCTTGGACACGCTCAGCAGTCCTGGGCAAGGACAGCCCTGCTTTTGCTCAGGAGCAGGGGCCTTCACTGACGGATCCTTGGCGTGCCGAGGGCCAGGTGGAGAGAAGGCAGCTCGTTCTGGCAGCAGGTGGGCCACAGGTTTCGGGGCCGAAGGCTCAGCTGCGTTACCTGCCACTAACAGCGCTTCACAATAGGCATTTCTGCCTCTTAAAATCGGGAAAACTATCCTGCATTGGTCGGTGCTTTAGGAAGGAGGCGTGGCTACCCCGGGGCCAGATTTGGCTTGCTGGCCTGGGATTCTGCCCTCTGGTTGGGGGCATTGCAGTGAGGAAGGCTGGTGGGGAGAGGGAGCTGCTAGGTGCTGTGCGTGCTGAGAGAAGGGGGCAGAGGGGCCGGCACGGTGTTTGGAGGCAGCATTCTCCAGCTGGACGGCTCTGCCCTGCTGGCATCTTGGCTCATTTTGTTGGCACCTGATTATTCATGTGATCGGGCTGGCTGCAGAGCTGCGGAGGGGCTCTGGAGCAACTGCTCAGAGCAGGGGTGGGCACAAAGCTGGTCCCCGGATAGTTGGACCGCACCGTCCAGCGTTCCTGGCGATTGGCCAGCCTGGCAGGAAGTGTTGCAGTCCAGCACATCGGGCGACCAGCCTCCTGCCCGCCTCCGAGCCAGAAGCAGCCTGGAAGGGAAGGTGCTGGGGCCACGGCCTGAACGAGGGACAGGCATTCTGCGGGCCAGCAAAAGAAGGGGGCCGCGCTGTGTGCCGGGGCTCGGATCTCCTGGCCGGCGTCTGCCACGTGGTCCTGATCTCGGGAACCCCGTCTTGGACATTATCTTCGCTGGAGGAGCCTGCCACTGCCAGGCCTAATTTTACCGTGGCCCTCTCCCGTTTCTGTTTTTTCAAAAGAGCTGTTAAAAATGTGTTTTTATATAGCAGCAGGCTCAGTCCTGCCTCGCTCGTTTGTGATGTTCCCACCTATACTGAGCAGGTGTAAGAGCAAATGCGCAGCTGCCAGAAGGAGATCCAGCTCGCAGATCTGAAAGGAACTGGAGGACGGAGCCCAGCCGGAGAGGCGCGTGGCCGGAGGCGGCGTGCCGGGCAGGAGCCGCCCAGGGGGGCCGGCAGCCGCCGCTTCTCGCTGCTGCGCACCTCCCGGCCGCTTGCGGGAAGGGATGGCCGTACCTTGGGCACCGCCGGCTCGCGCATCTGTCAGGCCAACACGGCGTTAATTCCTGTTCTGGCGCCGTGGTGTTTCTGGGACGCGCCTGATCTCATAAAGCGCATGCAATGGTTGGGGTTTGGGGCTGGCTGCCTCTTGACGGCGCCCGAGGGGCCGGTTATGGCAGTGGGGGAGCAGCATCCATGTTCGTGACCGGTGTTGCCATCCGGGTGACTCATGCGGAAGACCTGCGGGCCGGGGGGGGGAGCTTTGGGTAAACATCCGCCGGTGCCCTTGCATGTAACGAGTGCCTGAGGACTGTCACAGTTGCTCAGGAAGCTTCCACAAGCCGGAGGCAGGCCCAGTGCTGCGCCACCGCGGATACGTGGAGCAGGGCTGTGGGGGAGTCCAGATCATGCAAACGGACTCCAGCCGATCTGAGCAAAAGCAGCGCACACGGTGGATGTCTGGAAGAGAGCGAGCCACGCAGGCGCCCTCGTTTCCCTTAGCAGCATATCCCTTTGCAGCCCTTGGCGAATGGCTCCGTCCTCGAGCTCATAAAAATAACAGGAGTGCAGAAGCACCTTAATTTAGATTGTGGAGCGTCTTCGTGCCCTCCTCCGCCATGCCGGCGCTTTCTTCCGTGAGCCAGAGAGGCGGTAAAGGTCCGTTCTTGTGGCAGGTTTTAGCTTGAACACGCTCTTCCTGAACAGAAGTGGCAGAGATCCTGACCCGGATTCGGCCAGTCTCCAGGTCCTGGGCGCTCTCAGGTTCCCCGTGCGCTGGATGCCGGCATCTCCGCCGCCCGCCTCAGCCCACGTCCTCCTGGCTTCCAGTTCAGGGCATTCCATATCTTCCTCACTGGCGGCGCCTTCCAGATGGCTGGCATAAAAGGCCGCAGCTCTTCAGTCCGAGCTGAGCAAGAGCTGCTGAGGACGGCCGGCTTGCGCCCCGTGTGGAGGCCAGAGCAGGCCGAGGAGGGTGCAGCGCCCTCGCCACTGCTGCCCCAAAGCCGCGGGGGGCGTGCCCGGCTGCGGCCTTCGGCTGCTCAGCAGGCCGGCCCAGGTCCTCCCACGTCACGGCGGCGTTTCCCGATTCCTGCGTTTCAGTGTCGGCTGCTTTTTGGTGCTGCTCCTCGTCGCTGGTTAAGTGGACGGCCGCTTGCTTGGGTTGTTTGAGTTGCTCGTCGCTTTGCTTTTAACGTATCGCAGATAGTTTGAAATGTAAAGTGTGTGCGGGGGTGC